TGGCTGCAGAGCCTGGCCCCTTTCCTGCCCTGCTTGCAGATGGAGCGGATTAGCCAGCAGAGCAGCCTTGACGTGCACCCAGCTTGGCCGCAGGGCTGGACTCAGGAGCACCTCAGGAAGAAGGTTTGAGCAAAGAGCAGCAGCCAAAGGGGAGAGGTGAGGTGATGGGAAAAGCTCCTGCTGCCGGTGTCACTGCCCCTGCCTATGGGGTGCCATAGCCCCCATTTGCAGTCTCATCCATCTGGGGCTCTCTGTCCCTGTGCTTTTAATGGCTCAGCCTTACAGTTTGCAGTAGTTGGTTGCACAGGAGCCTGCCTCAGGCCTTCACAGGCTGGGAAGAACATGCTGGATGCAGGCACTGGGGTTCTGGTGCTGCTGCAGCACCCAGAAGGAAAGGAGCACAAACACCCCATCCCTGCCCAGGCCCTGTCCTGCCCTGTGAGCTGCACCAGGTACTGCCCCTGTTTCCCTGCTACAGCAGGGCCAGGGTGCAGGGACTGGCCTTGCGCCCCCAGCAGTGACTGAGGTCTTGACACGGGCATTCCCAGCTGGAGAATCCTTGTGCAAGCTCCCCTGGGAGGTAGGGGAGCATCTGCATTTCCCCTGCAGCTCCAGGGGCCGGTCCTGGCAGATCCCAGACCTTGCTGCTGTAGAGCATCCTGCTGGGAATGAAATCTGATGAGCACAGCCATAAAGTGCTCCGTGTAAGTGGCGCTGAGCCCCGTGTGCTGATGCTGCATCCAGCCCTTTGTGTTATCGATCCTGCAGCAGGAGAGCCTCTGCTAAGTGCAAGGAGCAGGGCTTGCCTGGCGTCAGCAGAAGTCAGCCAAGCCACGCAAGGGGTCACCAGAGGGCTGATGCTCCTTCAGCTCAGCCAAGGGATGGTGCCAGGGCTGGGGATGCTCCCTCCTTGTCCCCAGTCACTGCTGTGGAGGGAAACCCCGGTCCTGGCTGGATGTGCCTGGGAGGCAATCCCAGGCCCCAGGGTGAGCTCTGCCAGCAGGATGGATGCTTGTGCCCCTTTTCTAACTCCACATTTCTGCCTTTGCTCTGCTCGCTGCAGCACCCACAGGATTGGGGATGGAGGTCATGGCTCCTGCCACCATCAATGCCTTGAATGGCTCCTCTGTGAAGCTCTCCTGCACCTTCAACTCCTGCTACAAGGTGGAGAACAAGCAGTTCTCCCTCAACTGGACATACCAGGAGTGCAGGAACTGCTCTGAGGAGCTGGTGAGTCCTGCTGGGGCTGGGGCTGTGCTGAGAGAGCGGTCCAGGATCAGCTTGAAGCAGTCGTGTGCATTCCTTGGGGTCCTTACGTGTGCTCCTGCTACCCAGCCCTTTGCCACAGGGAAAAATAGCAAGTGATGGTGTAAGAACAGTGGCAGCAGAGGTGCCATGAGGAGGGGCTGTTGCGGTGGGAGCATGCAGCAATACACGCAGGGCAGAGGGATGCCTGGCACGCTCACGTAGCCTGTACCAAACAGCATCCTACCTCCTCCTCCCACCCAGTTCCTGCAGTTCCGGACGAAGATCATGAACAAGCAGCTGGACCGCTTTGGGAACCGCGTGGAGTTCACGGGGAACCCCGCCAAGTACGACGTGTCCTTCACCCTCAAAAACGTGCAGCTGGAGGACGAGGGCACCTACAACTGCTACGTCCTGAACCCCCCGGACCGGCACCGCGGCCACGCCAGCATCAGCCTCAAGGTGCTCACCAAAGGTCAGTGATCCCCTCTGCTGCTCTGTGCTCTGTCCTGTGCCCTGCCTTCACCCTGGCAGTGGGAGCGAGGGCCCTGCCTGTTCCCAGTCGCTCCCGCTGGCTGCTCCAGCTCATTCCCTGAGCCCTGTCTCCGCAGAGCCTCCAAAGCATGACTCGACGGTGGCTGTCATCGTGGGCGCTTCTGTAGGCGGCTTCTTGGCCGTCGTGATCCTGGTACTGATGGTGGTGAAATGTGTGCGCCGGAAAAAGCAGCAGAGGCTGAACACAGACGACCAGAAGACGGAGGAGGAAGGGAAGACAGACGGAGAAGGCAACCCAGACGAGGGCACCAAGTAACACCCCCCGTCCCTCCCTCCCTCTTCACCCCTGTACAGCGTGACCCCCTTGATGTGCTTCCCCAGGCAAGGATTTCTGTCTCCCCAGAGCATCCCTCCTTCCATCTAAACACCCAACCCAGCCTGGAGCAGGGCGCGGAGAGCAGGTCCCTGGAGCCCGGCCACAGCGGGCAGGGCTGGGGATGGTGGCTGAAGCACACTGGGGCTGCCCCTGTGGCTCTGAGTGCCAGAGCATTGCGTGTGCCCGTGAGGAAGTGCTGGGGACGGGGTGGCATGGGGCAGGGGGGATGAGCACGGCCCTCCTGCATGGAGGGGATGGAGCAGCAGGTGCCAGCAGGGGCAGAGAGGGGCTGGGCAGCCCCGTGCCTTGATGTCTGCACCCTGTCCTGCTAGAAGAAGAGAGAAGGAGCCAGGGTCCAGCACCATCTGCCCTCGGGGTCACGTCTCACCCCCAAGATGCTCCTGCTGTTCCCAGGGCACAGGCACCAATGCGCCTGTCCCTAAGGGATCCCAATAGCTGTCCATCTCCTCCTTGCGAGTCCTGTGTGCCAGTGCTGAGGGTGCTGTGACAAGAAGCCTGTGCTCCTCAGGGACTGTCCCAGCCTGCTCAGAAGCTGGATAATGACCATTAGCTCACAAGGTGTCTCTGAGCTTTGCTGCTTTTTGGAGCCACTAATGGCTCCTGGTTTGTAACGGATGTACCCTTCTGCTTCCCGGGCTATTTTTGGGTCTGAGCATCTCAGCCAGAGGTGCTGGGCTGACTTTTTTGTGCTCGTTTCCTTCTTAGGGAGGGTAAATCTAATGGAAAATGCTCTACTGATGTGCCAAATCGAGGTGGTGGGGAGTGGCGGGGTGTGACTGCTAGGGACAAATCGCTGCTGGGAAGCGGAGGAGGTTTGGGGCGCTTGATGGGAAGGATTGGGTGCAGATGCAGGACCCTCGAGGGACCCTGTGATGCTGAGATTGCCTCCTGCAGCCTCCCTGCACAGCACTGCACAACCTGTAACTGCCATGGCAAAGCACTGCCAGCCCGGCCAGCCCCGGGCCCCGCAGTGCCGGCTGCTCCTGCCTCAGCCCCATCCATGGTCCAGCTCTTGCCTGCTTTGGCAGCTCCCTCATGCGCACCAAGAGCTGCCCCGTGTGCTCTGCAGTTTGTTATTAGCGGTGGCCCGGGCAGCTCATGGGGGACAGGGCATGAGTGAGCAGTGATCCTGACTGGTCCCATCCTGCGGTGGTGCAGGGGGATGCAGTGAGCCCAGGCTTGGGACTGGAGATGCTGCCTGCCTTGAGCAAGCCCCTGGGCTCCTGTGCAGGACCTGGTGGGTGAGCTGTGCTGGATGGAGCACATGGGGAGCTCGTCCTGGGGCTTCTTGTGTCAGACAGGCAAGTGTCCCCTGCCACACCGTGCCTGGGCTTTCCTTCTCCTACGGCAGACAAGACATGGAGCAGGAGAGGGGCAGTGCATGGACACCACAGGCCAAGTGACAGAGGTCCTGTCACCTATTAGCAATACTGCCAGGGGAGAAGGGAGACTTTCCCCACAGCACCCAGTGCTGCTGCACCCCAGTGTGGTGCTGTCCCAGCAGTGCTGTGGGCAATGCCTCCCTGGGGAGGAAGGGATGTCCATGGGCTCCCTGCTCTACCCCCATCGCTTCCTGCCCCGGCCCCGTCTGCCCTCCCCACCCCGCTCAACCTCGCTGGGCTCTGCACCGCTCCCCTTCCCATCTGCAGCAGGAATGTGCCGTGTCTCCATGTGGCTTCCCTGTCTCCCGTGGGATTTCCTGCCCCGGGGAGAGTCGGGATGAGGCTGCCTGCCCCTCGCACCCCCACGCCGGGTGGCTTTCCCTGCACAGTGCCAGTGGGGAGCCAGCTGCCAGGCTGGCTCCCTGGGACTGTATCCTGCTCGGAGCCAGGATGTGAGCGGCTCCACACAGGATTGAGCTGGCAACTCTGCGGCCAAAGGCCTCTGACTGTTGCACATGAGCAGTCTTGCATCTGCCTTTCCATTTCTTTCATGCACTATCCTTGGATTGCAACTTGCCAATGCATTTGTATGTACATAGCTGTACACACCAGAGAGAATCTCTACAAATATATATATATATACACACACAGAGGAGGTGCTGGTATCGGCTGTGACTGTAGTTTTGGGCTTGCGCCTTCTGATGGGTTCGTTTTGCACTCTGCTGAGTGTAGGATGTTTTTCTTGCTCTTTGTACACTTAAACAAAAGAACAACAAAACACAAAGTTTGCACTCGATGCTTTTGTGCTGGAGGGGCAGGACAGGGTCCCTCATCTCTGCTTCTGTCCAGAGGGACGGGAAGGTTCCTGCGTTCGTGCCAGGGCATGGCTCCACAGGGAGCGCTGCTCAGGGCACGGCAGGTAAGGCTCAGCAGGCTCCAATGGAACCCAGGGCACACATGGGGTGATGGGCACCCATAGCCAGGCTGCTTTCCAATTTAGCAACCCAGCAATGCCACTGAGAGGTGCAGCAGGGCGCAGTAACAGGCACATCCATCAACCTACCTCTGTGCAGACACAAGGGTGAGTGTGAGGGAGCTCCGACAGCTCTCCTCAGTCCTGCCTCCCCCACCTGCCCTTCAGCTGGGGCTGCCGAATGCCTGCACATCCCAAGTCGCACACCAGGACAGCCCCTACACACCTATGCCTACCTCAGTGGTGACAGTGAGTGGCATCAGCAGTCTGCTCTTCCCACTGCTGCCTGCTCACCTTGCTGTGTGCCCGCTGGGTTAACTCCGCAGAGAGCTCCCAGCTCCATCCCAGCAGGAAGGGCACCAAAATCACCTCTAATGCACCTCAGCTGACTTGGTCCTATAGCACTGGGCTGGTGCTGGAGGTACAGCCCTGCCAGCAGCAATGAGTCCCTGGCCTGCACCTTCAGAGGGGCAACTACAGCCAAGGGGGCAGGGGCACCTCTGCCAGAGCCTCATGAGGAAGGCAGGCGCTGTGGGATCAGGGAGGAGAGCCCCGTGGGACATGCCAAGGGTGAGTTCTCATCGCTGTGAGGAACCAAGGGCACTGACTGCACCCTCCTGCAGTGCTGTGGCTTCACAGGTTCTCCAGAGCTGGGGACATTCCGTTTTACAGACTGCATCCGTTTCCTTGGACCAGGTGGGATTAGAGGTGTTGAAGAGCAAGTTGGGAGATAGCAGGGACCTCGGCTCAGTGCTCTGCAAAGCCTTGGGGCTCTGCTGGGTGCTTGGTAGGAGTGCAGAGCCGCTGTCCCTGCGATGCTGCCTGCAGCCTGTCAGTGGGGCTGGGAACTACTGAGGAAGAGCCTGGAAAAGAGGACATCCTGGGGCAGGGAATCCCAGGAGCTGAGGGGTGTGGAGGGCAGCGCTGGAGCTGGGGAGGGTCCAGGGGAAGTGCTGGGTCAGGAAGGAACTTTTTCCTGGGACACAGGGCAGTGTCTCTTGCAGATTCCTCTGCAGAGGCTGCCTGGAGACCTTGCTCCTCTTCCCCTGCTTGTATTAAAGGGCCCATAAAAGGGGGCGAGGAACCTGCCGACCCCGAGGGCAGGCTGCTCTGCTGGTGAACGCGGAGGAAGCAGCAGGCGGGACGGCCCTGCACTGAAAGAAGGAGGCAGGGAGAGGGGAGAGCATCGCTCCGAGGGAGAGCCGCAAGCGAAGGAGCTCTGAGAATGACAAAGGCAGCCGAGCACTCACCCGCACTCCGCGCTCCCGGGACCTCCCGCTCAGCTCCAGCCCAGGCTGGTCCTGCGGTGTCTGATCACTGCGGGCGCCTCCTGCCCAGCACGTCCCGGGCTGCCAGGCCAGCTTGTCTTTTAAAGGTCACAGCCAGAGGACCTTGCAGCAAACATAAGGTGCTGATGGGAAGCTCTGTTCCAGCGTTGCCACCTCCTCCTCCTCCCTGCTCCTGGCCCGGGAGCCCAGCATCCCCTGGCTGTGGGAGGGATGGGGCTGTCCTCCGGCTGCTGCTGGGAGTGCGGATGGGACAGGATGCTCCAGGGCAGCCGGGGCCGGTGCTGCGCCTGCTGCATAGAGCTGGAAGGCTGCAGCCCAACTGCTCTGCTCAGCCCTACCCAGGTACCCACGTGGAGGGAAACAGGAGCCCTCCTCGGAGAGCAGCCTGGCACTTTAACCCTCCCCACTCCATTAGTGCGAGGTGGGAGGGAGAGAGGGGTACCCAGGGGCCTCACAGCCACTCTGATCCCTCTGCAGGCTGTAAGCCAGCTGGCAGGACCCCTGCACCTTTCTTCCTGTCCCCCCCCAGAGGTGACAGTGTCCGAGCATGGTGCTCGCCCTCCTTGAAACCGGACACAGCAGCTTTGTGCTGGACTCAGCAAAACAAGTTCCGCTGAGCCACAGTATCCCTGCTCCCATGCCGGACATCTCAGTATCATGCTAAAACCCCAGGGCCAGCTGCTCTGTGCTTCCTTCCTGGCCACAGCAGACACCATTCACTGAGGTCAGGCTGCGGGACAGCAGAGCCTTTCCCAGGCCTGTGGCAGCAGCACATGTCTCAGGAGAGCAGTCAGCCGAGGAGACTGGCCAGAGCTGCCAAGTGTGACAGCTCCATCAGGCTCCTGTGACAGGCAGCATCCCTCTCCGAGCCCCAGGCTGCATGGCCAGGAGAGCACGGCACCAGGCTCAGAACCCTCCTTCTCCAGAGATGTCAGCGGGGACATAATGGGCAGCAAACAGGAAGAAGTTCATGTGTAACGGCCTTTCCCTTACCCAAGGGTATGGGTGCTACTCTTTCATGTCCCCAGTGCTGCAGGTCTCTCTGGTCCTGCTTGCTGGATGCTGGAGGGTCCAGCCTCAGCCTCATCTGCCCCCTGCTTCAGCATCGGTGCCTGTGGTCCTAGCAGCATCATGCACCCTTGCAGGACAACAGCTAGCTGTATCCATCACCTAGCCGTATCCATCACCTAGCTGTACATATCACCTTAGCTATATCCATCACCTAGCTGTACACATCACCTTAGCTATATCCATCACCTAGCTGTACACATCACCTTAGCTGTATCCATCATCTAGCTGTACACGTCACCTTAGCTATACCCATCACCTAGCTGTACACATCACCTTAGCTATATCCATCACCTAGCTGTACACATCACCTTAGCTGTATCCATCACCTAGCCATATCCATCACCTAGCTGTACGCACCACCTAGCCGTATCCATCACAGCCGCCTGCCAACACACCTTCTGCTGCATCAGCAGTTCTCTCCACACTGCTCCTGCAGCACCGACTGCCAGCGCTCCCCAGCCTGCTCTGCCTGTACTTTTCCTGTCTCCATTGCCAGCACTGCAGCTCTAACTCCTCAACCCACAGGCACTGCTGGCATCCTCTGATGGTCCCCTGGGATGCCCCTGTGCCCTGCAAAGCATCCTGCTTCCCCTCTTCCCTCCTGCTTCAGGTGGGAAGGAGAATGAGCTGCAAAGAAGGCTGGAGTGGGGCTGAGGAGTCTCTCAAAACAGCCTGGAGCTGATGGGCCACAGCATCACAGACATGAAGGCAGGGCCCTGTGGAAGAGCTGCTCTCACACCTGAAAAGAAGTAATCCTATTCTGGGAAGCTGTGCTGTAGAGCTGTGCCCAGCAAACAATGTACGGCCTTACCCGGTCCCTGGACACATGCCTTGTGGCAGCAAGGACTCCAGCCTGGAGAAACAGTCAGTCCTGTTCCTGCACTGTGAGCACAGCATCACCTCCTCCTGCTTCTTGCCATGCCTGTTATCAGGATGCATCACCTCCAAATCACTGCTCTGCACAGGGCTCTGGCCGTCTAATGGATGTGGGCTCAAAGGTAATGCTCTATCTTTGCACACTGTGCTGATGGAGGCCTCCATTAGGAGGGCCTTTTTGGATGTGGTCTGCTGGAGGTTAGCTCTAATGGATGTGGCAGTGCGGGGAAGGTGCTTGAGACGTAAACTCGTGCAGCCAATTATCCCGGAACAAACCCACAGTGAGAAAACTAAGTTTGCCAAGCGCTCCCTTTGGCGCTGGGCGGATTCCCTTGCACCCGACTTTGTGTCCCCCTCTGCCATCGGGGATGCTGGTAGCTCCATGGGGACAGCGGGCAGGGAGACCGGTGGTGCCACGCTCCTGAGGTGCACCGAGCGAGCGCTGACCCCAGCAGGGGCAGGGGAAGCCGCAGCCTCAGCGGCACCTTGTCCCCTTCCAGGGTGGCCCCAGGGCATCCCGGCGGGAGCCTTCCCCTGACCCCCGGTGCGGGCGGTGCGGCGGGAGGATGCGCGGCGCGGAGGAGGGCGCAGCGCAGCGCGGCCCCGCCCGGCCCGGCCCCGCCTGCCCGCAGCGGGGGTGCCAGAGCCGGGCCAGCACGGACCGCGCCGCAGCCATGGCCCGGGGCTCTCCCGCCGCCCGCCGCCGCCCCGCGCCGCGCCTGCTCGCAGCGCTCCTGGGTAAGGGGCTGCGGGGGGCTGCGGGACCCGCTCCGCCCCGCGCAGCGCCCGCATCCCCCGGGAGCGCCGCGGCTGCATCCCGCTTCCAGCCGCTCCCCTGCGCCTTCCCGAGGCGGGGGGACCCTCGCTTCGCGCTCAGCTGCTTTGCATCCGGATTGCCCGCACCGCCAGGGATCGGACGCTGCTGCTCGGATGGATTTCCCCTGCGCGGGCGCTAATGCAATGATCTCTGCTCTGCAGACGGCGAATCCGAAGCACTGAGGATAAGTGACTTGTCCAAGGTGACTTCGCAGCCGAGTCCGAGAGCGGACTCTGAAGTCCTGCCTCCAGCCCCCTGCCCTGCCTGCACCATCGCCAGAGCTTCCTCCTGCGAGCACTGCGGCTGCATCCCGCTTTGCCCTGCTCCGCTCTGCTGCTCTGTGAGCAGGGACCGCGGCTACCTGCCTGCAAACGTGAACCGGGGGAATAGCCGTAGGGAAGCGGTGCACTGCTTCAGCGTAGCCGCCAGCACGCCCGCCGACAGGTCATTGTCTTTACAGTTCGTTTTAAGACCCCATTTGCATGCGCTTCTCCGCGGCGCGGGGACGAGCCCACACTGCAGGGCTCGGAGCATGATGCCCAGGCCTGTGTCCAGGGATGCCCGAGCTCCCCGGGTGCAGGGTGCAGGAGGGAGTTTGCAGCTGTCCCCTCCCCGCTGCAGCTCCTGGGGCTGGTTCCAAGCCACCTGCATCAGCCCTTACGCTCGTGTAGGTCACCCTTGTGTCCACGGCCACAGAGAGCCTGAAAGCAAGGGCTGCCTTTGCAGCACTTGCTGTTGGGAAGCTCCTTTGAGAGGCGTTTTAGAGGGCATAGTTCTTAAGTTTGCTTTAAGTGAGCTGGAGACACGAAAGGACATGTAAGTACCTGGCTCCCTGCAAGATTTGGGTGCTGGTTGAAAGTGCCTCCGCCGATAGAAGCAGTGCAAGCTGCTTGCGGCACAGGGGTGGCAGTGGGGTGGTAGGAGAGACTCGGAGATGCTGCTGACAGGGCACTCGGGGTTTGAGGTCCAGGGTGTTGAGATGGGAGCCTGGTCCTACAGGTCACCCAGGTGGGCTGGGAGCCTGGAGAGGTGGGAAGAGGAGAGCGTCTGGGCAGGAATCCGTGTCTGTGTGTTTTGGGATGCTGTGCTTTCCAGGGAGCAGTCGTGGGCTCCTGGCTGCACCAGGGAGCTGGAGCACATCTTCTGTCCTCAGCGCTCATGGGAAGGGGCAGCCCGTGTGTCCTGTCCCAGAGCACACAGGGCTCAGGCTGGCTTGACAGTTCCTTGCTTCTAACCTGGGTGGAGAGGAGCCTGGCCATCCCACCAGGCATGGTTTGCTGTGTGTGCTGGGAGCTCACATGGATTTTCATGGGCAAGGAAAGTTTTTATAGAGGTGTTTTCTTGCAGATAGTGGAGGTGTCCCATGGCTTTTCAGGTGAATCATAGAATCATAGAATAGTTAGGGTTCGAAAGCAACTAAAGATCACATCTGGTTCCAACCCCATGTGCCTTTTCCATTCGGGCAGTGATTCCCAGACCAGGTTCATGATGGGCTGCAGGAAAAGCAGACAGCTATGGGGGAAAGTCTTGCTCCGGGTCCCTGCCCAGGCTGGAGCACTATTGCTGCTGCTGCTGGGGCTGGGTCCCACGATGCTGCACTAAGCACGTAGCTCAGTGCCTCTGCGACCCTCTGTGAGGCTTGCCCCAGAGGCTTACCCTTAGCAAGAGGCTCTGGCAGCAGCAAGTGCCTGCTCCCCGGTGCCCCTTCGTTATCGCTTGGTGAAAGCTGGTCCCTACAGGCATGGGAAGTGGCCTGGAGCCCATGGAGGGGCTTGCCCTGTGTGCTGAAGGCTGGGGCTCACGTGGTGGGAAGTGCAGCGGCTTTGGGCACATGGACATAGGGCAGCTGGTGTGACAGGTCCAGTCAGCAACCCCCTGGCCTCCCGACGTCTTTTCCTCTGCGCTTTATTTAGAGGTAACATATCAATTCTGTCTTCCTGAGACCACAGCATGACAGGAAGAAGATCAGCCTCCGCTTACCCCACGCATTCAATTCAGATTGCATTCGTGACGTTGTAACGGTGGCAGACAGGATTAAAAGTGTCACAAGCTGCAAGGAATCGTCTTTCCTGTAAGTAACTGCCAGCTTGCAGCACCCTGCCTGCTCAGGCGTACCTGCAGAGCCAGGCATCCCTCTGCTAAGTCTCACTCCAGGTAGCAGCATGGTTCCCCAGGGATGCTCCTGGCTGTGAAGTCCCTCTGTAGCATCCACAGGGCTGGTCTCTGAGCCTGACAACTGCAGGCGACCTCCTGGTGGGAACCACCCCCTGATGGTAGCTAAAGCCTCTGGAGGGGAATGAGAAGTGCTTCTTTGTAAAGTTAAGTAACTCCTTGCCTGCAATGCTTGCAATGCAGCACTGCAGCAGGACCAGAAGCCCAGGATGCAGGGCTCGGGCTTGGCTTGGGCTGTGATGTGCCTGGAGAGTTGTTAGCACAGGCGTGTGTGGGAGAGCAAATCAGCAGCTGAAGCAGCTTCAGAGAGACGGGAATCTGAAGCTGAGGGCAGCGTATCCAAGTTAGGGTGTTAGTGGAGCTGCGGACCAGCTTACAGCTGCAGGGAGAGCTGTCCCCAGTGTGTTTCGGTTATCCAAGTGCCCAGGGAAAGCTTTGTAAAGGTGGCTGAGGTCTGGGAAAGGGCAGGACAATGCTTGCTGGGTTGTACCACAGCTTGGCCGTACCACATCATACAAGCTGAACGGGGCTCTGGTGTGATGGGGAATGAGGCTGCCCTGGAGCAGAGCATCCCGTGCCCCCTGGAAAGGGTTTGTGTGGACACTGCTGCCCAGCCTGGTGTGCATGGGAGCAGTGCATGGTGCCTTGCATGGGACCTGGAGCTTTGAGGCACAGTTGGGCTGGTACCTGCTCCTGGATGCCTTTCTCCTGCTGATGGGAGGAGAGGAGAGGCAGAGCTGCATTCTGTAGCTTGAAGGTCATCCCTCTTTACCACGGGAGATAGGCTCTGCACGGCGGGCTGAGGGGTCCGAGGGCCGCACAGGCTGCGAGGAGCTGTGCTGCACAGCAATGCTAACCAGTGCTCCAGCTCCCAGCTTGAAGAACACAGAGCTCTGCTTGCTTTGGGCACTTCTCTCCCCCTTGAAGGTTTAGCTGGAGGCCTATGGATAACATGCAAATCAGGGCTTTCATTTGCATACTTCATTCGTGGTGGTATTATGGTTCCCTTTGAATCCGTACTGCCTCTGTGGGTTCTTCAGGAACAAGTCCCCTGTCTCTGCCTAAAGCTGGGACAGGCACGTTTGGTCCTGCCATGCCAAAAGCAAATGAGGGGTGACGAACCCATCCCTGGGCTCTGGGAGGGGAGCTGAGCTCATGCCCCTCATGCTGAGGCTGTGGGGAGCAGGAGGAGGATGCCGTAGGTCCCTGGTGCAGCTGGGAGCAGGACCTAAGGGGTGATGGCTGCATCCCACTGCCCGCCATGTGCTCCCTGGGAAGGGATCCCCACTGTGACTGGTGCTCCAGCAGAGGCCAGGCTGCAGGGGGGGAGCAGTTGTCCCTCCCATGTGCCTTTCTCCTCCCTGCCCCATCTTTCCCCAGGTACACGTCCGCAGCAAAGCCCAGCAGAGGCTGGGCTGCACCTCGGTTCCCGACGCAGCAGGCTGGACTCCACACTGGTGCCGTGCCCTCACTGTCTCCTCCCCTCTCCCTGCCAGGTTTGCATGTCTTTGCCCTTGCCTTCGCCTTGGAGGTGTCAGTGGGGAAGACCAACACTGTGATGGCTCTGAATAACTCCAATGTCCTGCTGCCCTGCACCTTCACCACCTGCATAGGCTTCCAGGACCTGGTCTTCACGTGGTATTTCAACTCAACAGAGATGGTGGGTGGCTCGCTGGGCTTTGCCTCTGCTTTATAGGCAGGTTCTTTTGTAATTCCCGGTTCTTGCAGAGTTCCCTTTCTCCTCTCCCAGGATGCCCATTCCTCCAGCTCTGGGGGGACAGGGCTGTGCCAACAGGGTGACTCAAACACCTTGGCACATCTGTGCTTTTGGCACAAAGCTGTTCTGCTGCCCGCAGGCTCATCTCTTAACGTACATTGACTGGTCACGTGCAAGTCTGCCCTTTGGGCAAAATAGGGCTGGTTTTCTCTTCCTGCACTTGCTCTGCGGTACTACAGGGTCTGGATTTGCTCTTCAACTCCTTATCAGGAGGGCTCGCTTAGAGCAGGTCCTGCAGCCCTGTCTATCCCTACAGCAAGGGGGTTCTCTGCCTTGGGGTTCTCCCGTTCTTTGCATGGTCTGTAACACCACTGCTTCCACAGCACTGTGGGCTGTGTGTCAGGCTCCTCTCCACAGCCATTCCTGCTTTACTGGGGCGTGCAGGAACACTGCCATGTGCGTCTGTGTGCGCAGAGCACTGGCAGGAGACCTTGGGCCTTTCCCTCACTTGGGATTGTTGGCATCCCATCTGATCCCACATCCTGCATCCCTGCCCCTGCAGATTTACCACGGCAAGATAAAGAGCAAAGCCTCGGAGCCCTTGCTGGTGGCACGCAACCCACGAGTCGAGTTTGTCGGCTCGACGACCAAGAAGGACAACAACATCTCCATTCTCCTGAAGAACGTGGACTTCAGCGATGCTGGGAAATACACGTGCCACGTCAAGAACCCCAAGGAGAAGAACGCGCAGCACAACGCCACCATCTTCCTCACGGTGGTCCAGAAGAGTAAGTGCTGGCCAGGGCTCCGGTGCCCCACGACTGGCACTGGGACAGTGGGGATGCAGACCCGCACTGACCCCATCCTGGTTGTGGAGGTGCATGGGGTGTCCTGGCTTCTTGGAGGTAGCTGGCATCCCTGCAGGGTAAAGGTTGGCCTCGTGCCCCTCTGTGTGGGTCCGTAGTTGCTTTGTGCAGGTGGGGGGGGATTGTGCAGTTGGGAGCTCCCTGCTCCCATCCTGAGGCCCCACAGCACGTTCTCTCCTGCAGTGGTGGAGGCAGACAACACTGTGACGCTCATCATCGTGGGCGTTGTGGGGGGGCTCATCGGCCTCCTCATCCTCTTCATGCTCATCAAGAGGGTTGTCCTGTTCATCATCAAGAAGACTCAGGATGGGAAGTGAGTGCGGGTCCTGGCACCCTTTGTTGGGTGCTGCCGTGGGGCAGGGCTGCCGTGGGTCGTGGTGAGAGGGGCTGGGGGGGCAGGAGTTGTGAGCTGCCTGTGTGCCCTTCCCCAGGAAGGAATGCCTCGTGAGCTCCTCGGGCAACGACAACACGGAGAACGGCTTGGCTGGCTCCAAGGCGGAACAAAAAGCACCACCAAAGGCATGAAGCAGCGGCACCTAACCCCGGCCCGCCCCGCAGCGGGGACAGGGGCAGGGGGCCAAGCCTTTCCCTTTTGTTTTCTTTCCAAACTGCCAATGCTTGAGACATGTTTCTATTACACACGTGCCTGCAACCTGCACTGCTTCTCGGAAAAGACTTGGGCTGCCGCGGGGACTGGGAGCTTCTTGTGGACTCGGACTGGGATGCTGCCAGGATGGAGGGAGCTGCCTGCTCTGCAATGAGCGAAGGCAAGAGGGTGCTGGGCAGGCAGGGAAGGGGCTGGGGAGTACTGTGGGTGCTGTGCTGCTTGCGGGGTGGTGGATGGTGAGCAGGGGTCCCGGCGTGCCTGGGGGTAGAGGCTGCGAGGAGCTTGGGGTGTCTTTGTGTGAGTGGCAATGCTGAGCTGGGGCAGGCAGGAGCTGCCTGCCTTGCACAGAGGGTGTCTGGAGCAGAGCAAAGGTGCACAATGCTCACCATAGAGGCAGAGGCTCCTGCCTTTGCTGCATTTCCTATGGGTCCGGCACAGGAGGAAGGGGGGAAGCAGGGCTGATGCGGCAGGGCTTGGCTTCAGCTCTTGTAAGCACACTTGAGAACCAAATCAGTGACCGTCAGGGCTGTCATCTCATCCCTGCAGGGGCTGGGTGCCGTGCTCCTGCCATGGGCCGGGCTGGTTCCTCCTATGCAGGGCTGTGGGGACCAGCGGCTGGGGCTGGCCACGTCATGGGGTCACTGCTGGCTGCAGTGGGGTGAAGGTCCATGTTTCACACCCTGTGTAGGGCCATACCCCAGGGGCAGCGGGGGCATTCCCGGGGGTGCTCCCTGGGTTTGTGCTGCTGCTCCTGCTCCTCCTCCCCTCTTTAAAGCCCATCACTCAGCATGCTCAGGGCAGTGATGCTGCTGACGCTGCCTCGCCAAGGCTCAACTTGTTACGCAGAGGTTTTTTATATCAGACTCCAGTGGGAACGCAGCTGACGGCATTCCCCCATCACCCAATGAAACCTGTGGCACTCCATCTGCGACGCAGGGAGGAGGGAACACAGTGGAGCCCTGGCGAGGGGAGCAATGCTAGGGCTGTGCCAGCCCACTCCTGGGCCTGCCACTGGCCCACGGGGTGACCTTGGGCAAGTCACTCTGCCTCTCCATGCCTCAGTTTCCCCATCTGTAAAATGGGGGTAATAACACTGCTCTACCTCACAGGGGTGGTTGTGAGGCTTCCTTGGCTACCATTTGTAAAGTGCTTTGAGAGCCTCGGGTGAGGGGGGCCACAGAAAGCCAAAAGGGTACCTGCAGTGGGGACTCAGGCAACGCAGCCCCCTTCCTAAGGGCTGTACTGGGACATGAGACATGAAGAATGAGCTGCTCCTACAGGCGAAGGTGGCAATGTCCTTTGCAATGCAATTTGTTCCCTCTTCCTCTTTTATTTGTGGGTGGCTGTTGGTGAAGCTGCAGGGCAGGCAGCTCCCCCATCCCCACTTGATATTGGGAATCACGGCCAAGCCATGCCCCCGGCTGCAGGTGCCCTGACAGAGGTGCTGGAGAGGAAGGTGGGTGAGGATTCGGTGGGCAAGGCAAACAAGGTGCTACCTTCTCTGGTGACTGTTGTGGGGAGGTGAGGCCTGCTTATGGGGTGGGGGCACAGGGAGCACCCTGCAGCCTTCACCATGGGGCACCCACCTGTTAAAGCGGGGACGGTAAATCTGACCTACCTCACAGGAGGTGTGAGGCTGCCTGCATGGCTTTGCAAAGTGCTCCGGGATCCTAGGGCGAAAGGCACTCTGTAAATGCAAAGTATTGTTACTGCACCATGGTCATGCATGAGAGTCTGGGCAGCAAGGCTGAGACCTCCCAGCTGCCCCAAGAGAGCCCCAGCCCATCCTTGGAGGAGACCTTCTGTGGGGGAGGACACTGAGGGGAGGAAAGGACTTTTTTAAGGACCTATTTTTAGCTGTCCCAACCTGTTGGCCTTTTTTAGCTGGTATCTGGACACAGTTCCACTTACCACAGGATATGCAATGCTGTTCTATGCATGGATTACTCCTCTGGCTTGATGGAAACAGTCAACATAAGCACTTCTTGACACGTAACTCTATCTGCATATGTGTGCGGGTGCTGTCCACAGCGTGGGGGGCTCCGGGCTGCTTTGGGTGCCAGCTCCTGTGGGGCTCCTGCTGTCACAAGGGCTTTTGGGGGGGGGGGGGGGGGGGTGGATGGGGGAGAGGGCCCTGCTGGAGGTGTGTGCTGCAACAGACACGAACGTGTATCAGCATATCTAAATCCATGTAGGAGATGCCTGTGAGTAAACACAGGGTGTGTATGACATGCTGGGTGGTGACAGCACATTTTTGCACTGTAGAGGTTTAGCTAGCTTTGCCTTGAATGAAATAAACTTTATGTTTAATAGAGAAACTAGAGGCTGGGTTGCTGGATGTGTTTAGGCTCCCTCGGGGCACGCTGCATTGCAGGCCCTGCACCGAGGCAGAGCAGCAGCGATTCCCTTGCCTGCTGAGCACTGGCCGTGTTTAGAGGGTGCTTGGGGGTATTTCCCAGCGAAAAAGGCTCTGAGCGCAGCTGCCTGGAAAGCAGGATCCCTCCCTACCATGTTGCATGGGAACGGTCCCTATTTCTGTGCTAGAAAGAGTTGATTTAAAGGAATGCCCGATGTCCATGTTTGTTTCCAGTAATTTCAACTGGCCCCATTCTGACCAGCCTGAGCGGCCGGGGTCTGTGTGCAGGAACAGGTTCTTCACCAGAGTCAGCAAATAAAACCCTGCCCTGCTCTGGGAAAGCAGCTCCTGCGGAGCACTGGGTGCTGTCAGAAACACCCTCGCAAGCAAGAGGGCCGGAGCCTTCAGAGGCTGCGTGAAAAAAACAAACACTCTCCTTTAATGGGGTTGTTCCATAGCACAAACATCATTTCTCTCCGTAGAACAGTAGTAAGCAAAGAGCAGCCTCGCCCCGCAGGAGCCTTCCTGCCACAGCAGGGTCAGCACCGGGTAATAAATTAATCCTTCTGCAGAAGGAGCTTGAGCTGCTCAGATTCCTCCATGGTATCAGTGGACGTGGCTCCGAGCCGCCCTTTGCCTCCTTGGCTGGCCTCTGGTGTGCTAAATCACAGCCCGGCAGTGAGGGCTCGGGAGGCACCGCTCACCTTTTGATGCTGGAGCTGCTGCAGCTAAGTGCGTAGGGATGGGGAGGGAGGCGTGAGGGGAGGGGAAGGACCTGTCCCAGCAGGTCTCAGAGCTCCGACTGGAATGAGAGAGAGAAGAAATGGTGAGATTTGAAAGGACATCTGAAACCAGGAGCACAGAATCACATCCTTAAGGAGCTGGCTCCGCTCCATGCAGAGCCCAAGGGTGCCCTTCCCCAGCATCCCCCAAACCCCCTGTGCTAGAGCAGCCGCAGGCAGCGGTGCAGCACTGACCCTCCGCACGGCGTAGATCCAGTTGAGGTAGGCACGGACGCTGGTGTAGACTCCGGGCATGCTGGGGGTGCCACAGCCCTCGCCCCAGCTCACAATGCCCACCACTTGCCAGTGCTTGCCTGAGTAGAGCAGGGGCCCTCCGCTGTCTCCCTGCAAAGGATAAACCATCAAAAGGAAGAGCCCCCATTCCCAGCACACTGGGTACCAGTGCTCATGGCTGCGGCTTTCCCAGCCCTGGAAGAGGCTATTTCCTCAATCGGAACCAACCTGGCACGTGTCCACCCCGCCTTGGGGCAGGCCAGCACACAGCATCTTCTCGGTGACCTCGCCATGGTAGGCACCGACGTTGCAGCTCTCCTCATCAATGAGTTTCACCTCCGCCTGCTGCAGGACCTCAGACAGTTTGCCTGCACACAATGTGGTGCCTCAGAGGGGACCCTGTAGGGAGCCCACCGGCCCCCTTCCTGCGAGTGGTGCTGGGGGGGACTGTCCCACTCACCGCGCTTCTGTGTGTAGCCCCAGCCTATCACCCACAGGGGTGTGCCTGGCACCAGCTCCTCGTCGAAATAGGGCAGGCAGATGGCCTTGCTGCTGTCTGGAATGGAGACAGGAAAGGCAGGAGGTGACTGAGAGTGGCTGTGGGGAAGTGGGTTGTGACCATGCACCACTGGGCACCCAGCTGCCCCCTCATGTGTGTCCCTCTGCACTGCTGCTTGATGCCCACTGAGCTCCTCGCCTGCTCGTGGGGCTCTTGCTCCGAGGAGGTACGTGCCATAACTCACCTGAGATGTGCAGGGGAGACTGCAGCTTCACCAGAGCAATGTCATTGTCCTTGGGAGACGTGGGCATCTCCCCAGCCAGGAAGACCTTCTCCACAGCAAGGGTGCTGGTGCCTGAGAGGAGGTTGGAGCCGGCCTTCACACGCCAGCTCTGAACAATGGGGTTGTTCCTGTGCACAGACATGTCTGTTATTGCTCCCCTCTTCCCTCCCGCTGCAGGGTCAAGCAGCAGAGCCTTGCCTACACTGCGCCCTGCTCAGCATCATTGTACCAAGGGGCACAAAGCCATGTTAACTACAGGACCACCCGGCTTAAACCCAGGCATTGAGGAGCCGACTCACTTGAAGCAGTGTGCTGCCGTCAGGATCCAGCTGCGGTCGATGATGCTGCCCCCACAGATGTGCTCCTTCTTGTACTGCAGGCTGACCTGCCACGGCCAAGCCTCGATGGTGGCTGCGCTCCCCCCCAGCACACGCGGGGTCCTTATGCTCTCCCCACAGCCTTCTGCCGGGCGGCAGAGCCACAAAGCAACAGGTCAGCTGCAGCGGTGGGGAGGGAGAGCGCATTGCTCTGCCCTCCTCTGTCCTCAGGTAAGTGGGGACAGAGGCTCCTTAGAGCCTCCTGACACTGCCACCCCTTTGTGGGCCACTCAGCACACCCCCTTTTGTTCTCTGCCTGCACATCATCCCTGGGCTTGGTTCACCTGTTCCTTGCCTTCTCCAGCCCACCGAGCAGATTAGTTTAATCAGGATAATTCAGCAGCAAAAGCAGACCCATCCCAGCAGCTGGTTAAGCCTCTCTTAGGTGTTCCATGTCTGGGAGGTTTACATTGGCTTAGCAAGGAGGTTAGCAGTAATGAAATCCAACTTTTCTCATGCAAATCCTCACTGTGGGAATCAGGGAGGGCCAGGGCTTGGGCCATAGCTGAGCTCTTGCAGCCGCAGCGCAGCACACGGGGACGTGCCAGGAATGGGGAGGTGGAGTGGCACGAGGTGCAAACAGTGCCACGATACTTACTGGAACAGAAGAGCGAAACAACCGCTCCAGAGAGGCATTTCCTGGGAGAGGGAGGGAAAGGGCTGGCGTCAGTGGCGGAGAGGCTCCGGCTCAGCAGCAGGATGAGGGGCACGGTGACCACCTCCTGCACAGCCCCGTCACTCACCGGCCTGGCTCGGGCATCTGGAGGCTGCCGTTCCTCAGCACGACCTCGCGGGGAGGCAGGGGCTGCCCGGTGCCTGCTTCCACCGCTGCGAACGTGGGGTTGCTGAAAGACACGGGGGTGGGCCAGGTGAGCCAGCACAGCGGGTGCACGGTCCCAGCACAGCACCGGTGTGCACTGCACAGGCACCTCCGGGAGCGTGGACACCCAGCGGGTTGGGCTCACGCTGAGCCACAGGTGGCCTAACCCAACCTTCACAAATAGGTCCTAAATGTTTGCCTATGGCTCCAACAAAGAGCTGGTGAGCAAGAGAGGAAGCAGGAGTGTAGGAAGGGAATGCAGGCCCTGTGCCAGTGAGCAAAGGAAAGACTCATAGAAAATGGAGGTTCTGGGGACAGGGACACGGGGATGCCAAAAGAGGCATCCCTGAAGGGCCAGGGCAGGGTGTGGAGACCTGGCACTGATATCAGGACCAGGGACAAGAGCGCACTGGAGGAGTCACAGAATGGTTTGGGTGGGAAGGGATCATCCAGTTCCAGGCCCCTGCCATGGACAGGGACACCTTCCACTAGACCAGGAGTACCCAGATCTCAGCTGTAACCTGCTTTAGGTGAATGCAGCACTCCAAGCTTGCTGCTAGCTCAGGGCAGCGCAGAGGCAGATACAGGTGTGTTTATGGAGCTTAATTGCAATACAAGGACCCAGCCCTGCCCTCCCACACCCCAGCCAAGTGCTGCTCTCATGGGGCTTTTAAAAGGGAGAGTAGGGAAGTGAGTTTCCCCCCCCTGGGATGGGTTCTGTATGTACTGCAGGAGGGGCTGCTTTGGTGAGGTGAGTGCTTGCCATGGGTACCCGCAAGGAGGTGGGGTGAGGAGTAGGAAGAGGGCAGGGGATGGAGCAGTGGTACTGGGAATGGTGCTATGTTTGTGTGGGAAGCTACCAGGGCTTCTATCACAGAGACCAGCCAGCTCTGAGCACCCTGTGTCCTGGGGATGGGCTGAAACCATTAGTGCAGGGCTCTGAGTGCTTTATGTGTAAATAGAGCCCCACTCAAAAAGAGCTTTTATGGGAGAGGGATGGATAGAGCAGTGAGAGAGGTGTGGAGAAAGCAGCCATGTACCTCCTGTAGCCCATTTGCTCGCAGGCTGCTTTTGCCAGCATCAGGTTGAAGTGGTCATGGCAGATGCAGAACCAGTCTCCAGTGTCCCTGTTAAGCACCTGCAGGATGGATCTGTCTTTGGAAACACGGGCTGGAGACAGACACAAAGGCAGCTTTGTCACAGGTGACTCTGGCAGGCAGCAGCCATGCCTCTTTGGAGCCCAAGCAGGGTGTCCTGGACTCACCCCCGGCTAGTGGCTCCTCAGGGACCCACTGGGGACAGTTGGCCTCATCCTCGCCCTGCAGACAGTCCACCTGCCCATCACAGACTTGCTGCAGCGGCACCAGCTTCAGGGGCTGTTTGCAGAAGAAGTAGTGTTGGTCCAGGTAAACCTTGACTGCGAGAAAGGGGGGTGTCAGCAGGAAGGTCCCAGCCAAGCCCTGGGTCCAGAGCTGTGTTTGCTGTGCAAAAGGAGCAGGGAGAGGAGAGCTGGAGCCATACCCAGGAACCCGACTGCAACCAGGCAGGCGAGGGTGAGCACCACTGCCAGGACCAGGATGCCGATCCGCTTGAAGGACTGCAGGGATGTGGAGCCTTTGCGTCTCGGGCTGGGACCTGCAACACAAAGGAGCGTGGCCCTGCGTCGCCTGCCCCAGCCCGTCAGCACTCGTGCCCCCAGCTCCCACAGGTATTACCTCTGCCATTGAGCCGCTCGGAGGCTAAATCCTGCAAACCAGAGGGGGAAAGCAGTTATCGAGCTGGAACTTCAGCAAGAAGCAGTTGGTGGATGGGCAGGGTCTGTAGGAGCGTGGCTAGCTGGTCCCATGGCAGTTCCCATGCCGAGTGCAGAGCTAACAGGATCAGCCACCCCAGAGAAAGCAGAGGATCAGCTAAGCAGGCACAGAGGCTGCTGTGTCTCTGGGTTGCTCAAGGTCCCTGAGGAGGATTAGCAGGGGAAATGCTTCAGCCTACATCGGAGCTTGTTTTAGAGCTGCTGAAGATGGAGGTGGCAGCAGGCGGGTGGCATGTCCTGGTGCAACACTTGGCTCTGTTGCCGCCCAGCATCACCAGCTGTGTTGCTCCTTTGAACACTATCTGTGCAATTCCAGTAACTGGTTATTAAAGTTATAGAATTACTGTCATTAATGCACCAGGGGCTTAAAAAGTCATAGTTGTTATGAAAGCACTTTCTGATGTGCCAAGAGGCTCCGAGTCAAAACAGAAGTGGTGGCACCCAGACGTGTCACCATGGGGGGTTATATTCTCTGACCAGCGCAATGTGGGGTCAGAAACTGAGTGGCACAGCCCGCGTCCTCCCTGGCACGCTGCTGGAGAAACCAGCCTGGCCCATGGGAGGGAAGCTGTGCTGCTGCTAGGACACGCAGCAAACACAGCCTGGGAGCAGTCGGCGCAGGAGGAAGTGGTGAAAGAGGCATTGATCCCACTTGATCTCTTCAAAATCGTTTTCTTGTAAGAGCTTCTCATGTGGGAGATGCCCAGCTGCAGTAGGAGAGGTCCTGTGAGCTGCACCAGCCAAACGCTGCCTCTCATCCTTGGGGGGTTGGTGCTAGGCAAAGATGAGAGCCCCTTTGGGCTGTTGTTTCTGTATGTTTCTGTTGCCTTGTTTTGCAGCTATGCTTGTGCCATGCTGTTGAGCTGCTCCCTGACAGCCTGTGCTTTCCCCTGAATGCCCTTCCAGCCCTGAGAGAGCTCTTCTCCTCTGCTCTGGACTCTACCACACAGGTAAGAGGAGCTGCTGTGCTTCGAGAGCACACGCTTGTCTCTGGGCTGGAGCCAAGTGTGTTTGTTGTCTCAAATGAGAGCAGTGGCCCCTGTGCCACTGCAGGGTTTCAAGGTTGGGGCTTTGAAGAACAGTGGTGCCATCAGACCAGGGATGCAGAGAGGCTCCAGCCCAAGGCAGGTGGGAGGGAGTGATGGAGCCCTCCCTCTGGTCACTGTGTTTGGGCATGTTTAGTCATGCACAAAGACTTTGTTAGCAGGATTTAACAGGTGAGTGACAAGCGATTATTTGTGGGTTAACGTACAGAGATAGCTTGGATTTGATGTGCTGCTAGCCCAGCCATCGCTGCCTCTCCATCGCAGCCCTGCTGCATGGCTTGGGCTTCCAGTTTTGGCTGCTCCCCAGCCTGGGAACAAGAAGTGCAGGGGAGGACTGGATCCAGCCTGTGCTGACAGGGCTGTGGGCATGTGGCTGAGCCTCAGCATGGAGCCATCTGGCTCTTCAGGAGGTGCCAGGGGCCTTGCTCCAAAGAGCCGGGCTCATCTGGCACTGATGCTGAGCATGGGCAAGTCATGCCAAGCACCCAGCTCTGGATGCACACAGCACCTTGGCTCCTCTTGGTCCCTGTGAGGATGCTTGTGTGCTATTAGCGGTCGTAGCTGCTGGGATGTGGAGCCCAGCTCTGTGTAGGGAGCAAGAGAGCAGGGTGGGAAGGTGAGGGTGTCTCCTGGGCCTCCCATCTTATCTGCCCTTCCCAAGCTGCTGACCTGCAGCACCTGGTGCCTGTGGGAGTTTGGTGATGTGGCTCAGCTTGCTCCCAAACACCACCTACGTCCTCCCGTGCATCCAGCCAGGGCACGTGGGGCTGCTCCTTCCTCGTGCTGACCTCTCATGTCACCGTGAGCCTGGACCATGGGATCCTAACGGTTCCTGTGGGACCGGTCCCAGGACCATGGCCACGATGGCTCCTCCAGGCTCCACAGCATGGCTGGGGCTGAGAGTCACTGCAGCAGCTCTGCTGCCCCTGCCTGCCCACAAGTTGCCCCTTCCTGTGCCCATCACATCACCTGGTATCAAGCTCCTTTCCCTGTGCAGGTCTGGACACAGGTGGGAGGGATGATGCTGTGGTGCTGGCCACTTCCCACCTGCAGAAGTCATTGCCTGGTGTTGATTTCATTTCCTAATGTGTTTTCTTCCATCCATGAAATTCCTCAGTTTCAAACAGATTTGCAGCTCGGGAGCTGCCCCAGGGGCTGCCTCTCCATCACTGCCCACTTGCTCCCAAAACCACGCTACGGCAAGAGCTGCACTGGTTAGATTCCAAGGAAGGCAAGAGCTGTGCCAGCTCCTTGTGGAGTGGAAGCACATGATTTCCTGGAGAAGTCAAGGCTGCCGTAACTAATTGAGCTCCATTGCTGTATTCACGTTAATGCCTCTATGGCCAGTCTACACTCCAGCTCTGCAAGCACCATCCCATGAGCCATGGTGAACTTCTGCACTCTCTTCTGAGGAGGCTTGGATATCCAGGGGTGCAGCCAGGCTCTTGCTGCTTTTCCTCCACACTGTGTGGCTGCAAGGTGCTGCAATGCACTGAATAGCTGCTCCCGAATGTGGTGGAATGTTCAGTGCAAACCCCAGCTCCAAAGGCTGCAGGGTGCTCGGATCCAGGGCTAGCTCCTTGGCTGCAGGAGATTTAATCCGTGGGGTCATGTAGCCACTGATGCCATGCAGGTGAGCGAGTTCCCTACCCTGGAGGGATTGATGTCCTGATATGTTGCTGGTGGAGGGGTTTATGCTGCCCTGCGAGCTGGGCTGTACGTGCCTGCCCTCTGTTAAGGAAGGCTTTTCCTCCTAGGGAGGGACTGCATGCCAGGCTGGGGTTTGGTGGTACTGGCTTTGCTTGCTAAAGGCACTGCAAGAAGCCAAGCCGAGCACGTCCCTTGTCCTGAGCAGAGGGACTGGCAGTCCTGTGGTGGAAGCACTGGGGGACAGGGGACTGGGCTCCTTCCCTGGCATTGCCTAAGTACCAGCCCCTTCTCAGGGCAAGGAGGGGGATAACAAGATGCTTCCGAGTGCAGGAGAGGGCCAAGCAAGGCACAGAGAAATGCGGGAGTGAGGGCGAAGCACTGTGTCCAGCAGCCATGGTGCAGTGTTGAGACACAGGTAGAATCATTGTCTGTTGGGATGCTGCGGGGGGCTGGGACCAGGGAGCAGCAGCTCTTTGGAGCCTGGGCTGCCCCATCACCAGTGAACTGCTGCGGGCAGACCTGGTCTGCGAGTGCAGGAGCCACGGGGAGTGCGGGGCCTGGGGGCTGCCATGCAGAGAGGGGCAGAGCGGTGGGCGAAGCTGTTGGTAACTCACCATGTTCGTCCAGCTCCGACGCTGTCTTCAGCCTGCAGAAACCCAGCCAATATCCTCCAGCTGGGACACGGGGAGGCTGGGGGTGCCCCGATGCCCAGGGAGCTGGGCCAGCGATGCTCCCACCACCCCTGTGCCTGTGCTGCTCTGCCCACACGTTAACACTGGGGCAGGACCGCCCCAGCACTCCTTAAAACCCACGGCAGGAGTTGTGAAACAGGAATTGTGATCTGTATGGTAATACAACACCAGTCTATCAGCAGCTCCGGCGCCTGCAGTAATCTCCTGAGCATCTGCCTCTGGAGGTGACTCACCTGCAGATCTGTCACAAAATAGCTTATCAGGAGTGAACTGACTGGATTTTTCCTGCTCTCCAGCTGATGATAAGAGGAACCACGGCTGTCCCGCTCTCCATCCGCATCACACTGGGCTGTTTTCAAACAGAGGTGTTAGTAGGTGGAGGAGGAAAGGAGTTTACGCGTGAGGTTATGGGGCCATTGTACCCTCTCGGGTCACTCAGTCTGCCTGTCCCTGTGCAGCCCCAGCTTGTGGCTGACACAGGCAGGCACCTCGGAAGGAAAGCGAGTGGGTGCCCATGCGTTGGATGAGCTCACTGGTGTTGCACAAGGTGTGGCTGGCAGGGCTGGGTGCGGAGAGGGGCTCTTACAGCCCCCAAGTTTCGGTGCCATGCCCGTAGGCTGGTGCTGAGGCTGCTCATGGAGCTGCGCAGCACTGGTGCAAAGCTGGGTTATGTGTCCAGGAATGATGGCTTGGGATGGGGAGCAGTTTGCTTACCCTGCTGCTGAGCAGGATGGGCTGTCGGGATTAGGTATCAGGAGCTGTGGTCAGCTGGCTGGAAAGGCTCGTGCGGGTCATGCAGGAGGTGGTGCAGGATGAACCAAGCAGCTCATTATCCTCTCCTTTTGTAATGAAGCTCTACCAGTGGTCAAGCAGAGCTGCTGCTGCCATGTGTGCGCACTGAGCCGGTGGAGAGCCCGTGGAGCATCCCGACCTGCAGCTCCTCAGCCGGGGAGCTGTGCCATCGCTGTGCCAGCTCAGCCTGCCGCAGCAAGGGGTCTGGAGAGAGCAGGCAGTGCATCCCACGAGCCTGACCAGGGATCCTGGCATCTACGTGTGGCTCTGCAGGTAAGGATGCCCTCCCCACTCACTGCAAGAGCAGCTCGACACATGGGTGCTGCAGGGATCAGGCAGAGGCTCTGGAGTGAGCTCAGTCCCGTGCATCCAGCGCGTCCTGTGTGGCCTGTGCCGGGCCACAGGGCATGGGCAGCGCTCCCGGAGCATCGCAGTGCCAGCCCCACACACCCCATGGCTTGGCCTCAATGCTGTGGAAGGAAGAGCAGCCCGGGAACATCCCTGGGGTGGGAGCTGACGCAGTGGGGAGCAGCTCTTCCTCCTTGGAGGTTAAGTGAGGGTTTTGAGGAAGCAGCTCTGTTTCAGGTGTTATGTCACGGCTCCGTGCGCCTTCGGGGCTTTGCTTCCTGGAGTGCGGCTGCATTTCCAGCCCATTGCCCTCCCCTGGCCTCTTGCACCCAGAACCCCAGCATGACACAGGCTTCCGAGCACCTTGGCTCTGACTGGGGTCAGGCAGAGGCCAGGCAGGGCTGGCCCAGGGGTAAGCAGAGTGCATCACCCCTCTGCATCCCGGCCAGCATCCCCACAGGTCCCAGGCATCACCCCTGGATCTCAATGCTGAGATGGTTGCCCTGTGGGGGGGCTGTACAGGGGCTTGGCTTTGCTATGGTGTAGTTGGAGCCTGTGCACTAAGGTGGGAGGGAATTTTCCCCTGGCTGCCCCGTTTCCAAGCTGTTAATGCTTGTCCCTGTTTGTTACCTTCTACCTGCAGCTGCCAGAGATGGTTTCCCTCTCTACCTGCAAGCAGGCAGTGATTGCCACCTAACCCTGTGGCTTGGCAAGAACATGATCGAACAGACCCGTAAGTGCATCACACTGTGACTGAGGGAAGCTGGTGGGGTATGCCCTGTCACCCTGAGTCCTGCCCTCACCCTGTACAGGGCCATAACCTTTGCTGGCATTCCTGAACGCCCAAGGCCAGGGCTTTGTGTGGAACCTGCTCCCCTCCTGGCTGCTGTTCTTCACCAGGAGGTGGCAGTTGGAGGATGCAGCAACTTAGACACCCCTGTGTCCATCCCTTGGACCCCAGCACTACCCTCTGCCAGGGTCCCTGTCCCTGCCAGCAGCAGGAGGGCATACCCCAAGCATGTGGGGAGCTGCGCTGGGAGCAGCCATGTGGGGCTGGGGCACAGGCAGCGTGCATCCATCGCGTGAGGAGCGATGTCTGCTCGAGCTCCTCCGCTTTCTCTCCTAGGAACCAGTTGAACGAGCGGGCGAGGAGCGGTGCCCAACCTCGCTGCAGTGCAGGGGTTGAGGTGGCTGTGTCACTGGGAGAAGAGGGGACAAGCAGGACGTGCCAGGCTCCAGCGGCTCCCAGCCTGGACAAGCCGTGAGCAGCTCCTGTGGCGCAGCACCGGGTGCCAGGACATGGACCAGCAGGTGGGTGAGTACATGGCCTTCCCTCCCCTTAAGGAGCAGAGGTGGGGATGGTTTGTGGCACAGCAGCGGCTCGGTAACCTGCTCCTCTCTGCTGTGAGCCGGGGCTTGACCGCTGGTGTGGCTCTGAATCCAGCAGCGCTGCTTGGAGGCATCTTGGGATGTGAGGAGGTCTGCTCCCGAGGGTTTCGGGGCAGGGGCTGCTTCCCACACATGGCACGGGGCAGGGGCTGGGCATGAAGCCGTCATGCTCCCACCAGTGGTAGGTGTGGGGACAGGGCAGTTTCGGCAGCGGGGTGATTCAGGGAGGCTCTTGCATCATGCTCCTCCTGCCCCAGCTCCTCTGTGTGAGTCACTCCTGCAGCAGACTCCTGACCTCACCCCTGCCATCCCATGCTGGGATGTGAGGTCCCTGGGGTCCCAGCTCAGCAGCAGCAGGGTGCATTGGTTGCCCACCTCTCCTGGCCCCCTGAGCCCGGCCCCTAGAGCCCAGCAGAAGGGAAGGGCAGGCCGGTCCTGCTTGTCTGCGGTGCTTGGGAGCTGGTGTTGCGGTGCTCAGCGGCTCCTGGGCGCTTGCCAGATCCCGTCAGGTAGAGCAAGTGCTGTGGGTTACGGGATGCCCTGGCTCACTGTGTAAACACTGTGACCACAGGGGAAGTGTTCTCACTGCACCGGCATCTGGCTAAATTTAGCTGCTGTGAGGTCATCCTCACCCCTGGTGCTGGGGGCACAGCACCTGGTGCTCTTGCCCCTGTGCAGGCTCTGGGGCAGTGGCCAAACCCTGCAGCCCCCGAGCAGTGCCCATCACCACCCCTGCCTGTGTTCTGCTGATGGGCCCCACTGGGACTGACTGGGCAGCTCCTTGGTCAGGGATGCTGGGGTGACAGGGGCTGTACTCCTGTGAGACGTGCTCACGCTGGAGCCTGCTGTGACAGTGGGGAAGGGTCTAGGGTGGTGTTTGGGATGCGCAGGGGTTTGAGTAAGCAGGAGCTGACAGCAGCTAGAGAGAGGTGTGATTAGCACCCTGGTGCTGTAGGTTAGACAAGATTTGCTCCGTGCAGCATGCAACCTATTGTCAGCAGAGAAGTGGACGTCCACCAGCGGTGCTGTGCCTGGGTACCTCGCTGTCCCTTTGACAGTGGTGGAGAGTTGGCTGTGGATGCAGCGCGGATGGGAGGGATGAGGGAGGTCCTGCACAGCCCCATCATCCTCCTGTCCCAGCCCCGTGCTGGCAGCAGAGCCTGCTCGCCCTAACAAACACATCCTCTAGAGGGAACTGCCTGTCCAGAAATGGGTCTGTGCAGCTGCACAGGGACACTGCCGGCACCGACCAGGGTATGGCACCGCATGGCTGCGGGAGCACTGGGACAGCACCAGTGCCACCGCTGTGCCAGCAGCTCCAAGGAGGTGCTTCCCCCCAGGAGAGCGTGTGTGGGACCAGGATTGGGGATGCAGGCGTGGTCGGGGTGGGCAGCTCCTGCTCCCAGCACAATGGGATGGGTTTGGGCACGGCTCCTGGCAGTGGAGCGCAGTCCCTCCAGTTTGGATGTTCAGAACCCCCGGTCTCCCAGAGGCATTTGTCTGCAGAGCCCCTTCTCCCTTACAGGGCAAGAGCCCATGAAGGTGCTCGGAGTGATCTTGGGTGTCGGGCTGGCCTTGCTGATCCTGGTGGGCTTTGGCTACAACTTCATCCGGTGGTACCAGAGGGGCCAGTGCTGGTGCCGTGAGTATGGGCAGTGTGGGGCTGGGATGTGGGAAGCATCCCTGACATTGGCTGGTCCCTGGGGAAGCCCACATGCAGGGTGGCTCTGGGGCAAGCTGGGGGCACACAGAGACTGAGGAGGGGGTGCACAGTGGTGTCCTGGTGCTGCCGGCTACCCCAGGGGCTGTCCTGCCCTTTCCCATCCTGCTGCACAGATCCGTGGCAAAGCAAAGGCTCTGACACTTCTCCTCCTCACCTCCCCAGGGCCTGACTTCATTTTCAACCTCTACCACACCTGGTGAGTGAAGCCATGCGGGGCCTTGGGGCAGGCTGGGTGCTCCCTTTGCATGGTGCTGAGATGTCTCAAGCCCTCGCTAGTCCCAACCCCACTGAGCTCTGCCCTGGGGCAGATGCCCTGGGCAGCCCTGGCTGCAGGGCAGGCTTCCCTGCAGTGGGTCGGTGGCGGTGGAGCTGGTGCCCCCATTCAGCATCAGCGGCTCGCTCAGCGAGGCAGGGAGCAGCTACGCGCCTTTCCACAACCAGGGACCATGAGCAGGGGCCGGGATGTGCAGGTAGGGTGTTCCCTGCTCCTCCCCGACTGGTGGTGGTGAGGGGGTCCCTGGAGTTATGTGCCCGGGAGAAGCTGGTATTTGGGGTGGCTGGAGCAGTGGGTCTGTGCCCCAGAGCATCCGTGCCTCCTCGGAGCTCTTGGTCATCGCAGCTTTCCCTGGGATAATCCCAAGGCTTTTCCTGTGCAAGTCCTCTTCACGCCTGTGGGGCATCAGGGGCTTTCCCTGAGCTCTGGTTCTGTGTGGGTGTCCCAGCGCAGGCTTTGGTTTGCATTTCCTTCCCCATGCCCTCTGTCCTCAGCCTGGGATGGGACACGAGGCTGGGAGCGATGGCTGCGTAGAGGCTGTGTGCTCACTGTGCAGCTTCCCCATGCTGCCTCACGGCCACCTCCCAGCACCCACAGAAAGAGCAACCAAAATCAGCTTAGGGGAATTCCTGTGTTCTTTCTTCTTTAAAACACAGCCCCTCAATGTGCTGGGTTTCCACTGAAACCACCGGTGCAGTTTCTGTGTTTTACAAGAGCTTCTCCATCTGCTTCCCACAGCTGCATTCCCCTTTTGGCCCTCCTTGAGCATGGGAAGGTGCCCGGGGCCGGCTGCCATCCCCATGCACTGCCACAGCCTCCCCTTGCTTGGGCTGGAGGAAGAGGGAGCTGCCTTATCCCAGGCTTCCTCACTGTGCATCCCATGACCCAGAGACACCCCATCCCTCAGGACCAGCCAGCCCCATGTCCAGGAGACCTTGGGCCAAGGCTGTTGGTGAACAGGGCTGTGTGAGATTTGGGGAACCAGCTAAAAAGGGTGGTAATGAGCCACAGAACTGGATGGCTGCTTTTGTGCAATAGAGGAAAATCTCATAAGGAAATGAGACTGCTTCAGACTTCCCTCCTCAGTGAAATATTGGTACCAGTGTGGAAATTTGTCTCCTGCACTGACAGTGCAAACACCTCAGAAAGCCCCTGTGGGCCCACAAGTGCTGGCAAGGAACAGGGGCTTTAGGGCTGTTTCTTCATAAACTGCTTTCTCAGAAGGAAAATGAAGAGAAACCTGGGAGACAGCGTTGCTGCGTGTAGAGAAACTGGTGAGGATGGAGCAGAGCGCCCCATCCTGCATCCCATTCCCTTCTCCTTACCATGCCCACTGTGCTGCTCCCCGCGGGGTCTGTGCAGTGCTGGGGGGGAAAGGTGCTGGGACAGTGCTGGGACAGCCACAGTGGGGTGCTCCCCATTGCGCAGAGAGCTGCTTGCAGGAGGAGTCAGAGCTGAGCATCCTCCTGCGTCAGGCTGGAAAATGTGAGCCTCTGGGACTTCCAGGGAACTGGAGGCACCTTCTCTGCTCCCGCCTGTCGGAGCCAAAGCGCTGCTCTGCGGTTTTCTGGCAAACTCATCCGGCTTCCACTGAAGCACTGCCTCTCGCTGCCCCTTGCATGGAGTCTTGCATGGTGAGCAGGGACCGGCAGCACCCAGCACTGCACAGGATGCGGATGCAGGCTGATGTCGGGAGCGTTTGAAATGAAAACAAGCTGTGCTGCCTTTTGGTGACCCCCATTTCCAGAGGAAGTCGAAAACAGAGAAAGTGAAAAGGAAATATGCAGAGGCAGAAGAGATGGGGGCAACAGGAGGGCAGAGGATGCCCTGCCTGGCACTGGTGGTGCTGCTGCTGTGGGCGCCCACTGCCTTTTGCCTGACACAGGCAGTGTGTCTCAATGCGAGCAGTGCTACGTCAGATGTAAGAGCAGGAAGCAGCAACGCATCAACCACCCTCCCGACAGCAGTGATTCATGTGTTCACCTGACAAAAGTACTCCCCCAGCTGGGTTTCCAGCAGCGCTTTAATGGGACTATCCCACCATGGAGGTTCTTGGAAACCAAGTGACTTTAGGAAAAGCTCTCCTGTGACTACAGTCAAACCCATGGTAAGTCCTTCCCATCTCACGCTTGTTTCCATTCTGACAGGAACTATTCTCCCCCATCCCCTTGTTTTGACTGGTTCTGCTCTGCTCCTCTTTTTCCCTGGTGCACGGTCCCCAGGCTGCTGCCCCATGGGACGTGCTGCATCACCACAAGCTGCCCCGGTCCCTTCCCTGCTGCTCCTTTGGTGTGTGTTCCCACCACACAACTCTCACCTCTGACATCTACCCTGGTCCTTAGATGAGAGTGAAGTTGTGATGTGCATACGCTCTTCCCCATGTGAGACCCTGCCCTTTGCTGTGGAGGAAAGCCCATATCTGGAAACAGCAAACACAGCTTGACCTTGGGGGAGGATGTGCAGATGAATAGACAAAATAGCTTTGGATGGACCACATCCTTTCTGTATTTACAAATTAAATAGAATAAATAATGTCTGTACACAACAGTGGCAGAACATGGACCATAGTGTGGGCAGGGCTGCCCTGGCTCATGCTGGGCTCATAGGGTGGCTGCTGCACACATCCTGCATCCTGTTGGAGGTAGCCAGCGCTCAGGTCTCTGTCATAGGGGCTGGATGCTGAAAGATCTCTGTAGGGTCAGGAAAATCCCCGTCTCCCTCCAAGTAAAGCCAGCCAGGGTGGGAGCTCCGTGCTGCCTGCGGCAGGATGCCTGACGTCAGGCTGCTGCTGGGGTCTGTTGTGAAAGGTTTGGACAGCATCAGCACTGCGGATGTCAGATGGAGGAGCCCAGCACTCGCCTATGAAAGGGGGAAGGGGAGAGGGAAATCACAGGCTCTCGAGGATGCCCTGCGCTGGGCAGAGGAGGCAGGATTGCGCCTTGGGAACATCCTGGTGTGTATCCTTGGGCTTGGTGGCTGGAGGAGACAGGGATGAGCCCTTCCAGCATAGCCTGTCCCTGTGTTTCCTTAGCTTTGTACCAGAGGGAAGGTGCACGATGGCTGGGGGCTGGCCACAGCAGTGCCAGGGCCAAAGCAGCCCCAGAAATCGTTAGACTGATGCTTCTCCAGTGACTCTTCACCAGGTCACTGCTCAGTTTGATGTGCTGGCATCCAGGGGTTGGCGGTAGCTTATCAGAGTATCTTCTCCTGTGGGCAGTGGCTAGAAGAGGTAGTTGGGTCAGCATGTGGGGATGCTCACAGGCAGCTGTCTTTGCTGTCCCCATTGAGCAGGCTCAAGGGGCTGATTTGCAGCATGAGCCACTTGTTGGTGCTGAGGCTGGAGACAAGGGGCAGCGTCCCCATGAGGTCAGTGTTGAAAATGCTCAGGTCAAAGGGAGCTTTCAGCCGCTCAGGGTGGGCTCTGGAGGCCAGGGGAGCACCTGGAGCCTCATAGCTCAGCAGACCTTGGGGTCCTGCCTGGCTGGAAATATCCCAGACAGCAGGCTCCTGAGTCACTCTCCATGGGGCAAGGTCCTGTGTGTGGCTGTGGGGACGCTCAGGAGAGGACTGCTTCAAATACCCTTTGACCACAGCCAGCTCGGAGCACTCTGTATCCAGCGCAATGTCAGTGCTGCCCGGGCCCTGCAGGGATGCTGCACAGACTGAGAAGGGCATCCCCTTGGCTGGGTCCTGCCTTGGCTCCACTGTGCCCTTGGACTGCTGCAGGTACCCACGGAACTCCACACCTTGCTGGCTGGTGTCAGGGGGGATGCTGAGCTCTCCGCTGCAGGGCTGCCTGTCCTCCATCGGGATGGTGTTCCCAGAGGAGCATGGGGGGCGAGGGCAGGAGCTCTCCAAGCCCATGCCGCTGTCATCACTATTGGGAAGCTGCCTCTTGTATCCCTGGGGCTCGGTGCCCGAGGAGCAGCTCAGTTCCAAGGAGGAGGTGCGCAGGCAAATGCCGCTGTCGGTGCTGGTGCCGCTGCTGTCTCTGCTCCTCATGGTCCCTGGCCCCAGCAGGCACACCTTGTCCTCAGGCCATGCTGGGAGCCTCCAGCCCTTCTCCGTGGGCAGCTGGGCTGCGCTGGTGCTGCTGATGGGGACACTGTCCTCATGGGGTTCCTTCTGGCACAGGAATAGCTGCTGGATGGGGTCTGCATCGGGGCTGCTCGAGGACGAGGGCTCCTGCTCTGCCCAGAACGAGCTCTGCTTTATGAAAGACTTCTGGGAGGGAAAGGAAAGAGGGGTGTGAGCCGTGCTTCACCCCTGCCTCTCCCCTGCCTCTCCCAAGAGCTCCCCAAGCCTGCACACTCGCACCAGTGGCAAAAGGTGCCATGCCTCAGACTCCCTTACCAGGACGGACGGCGGCCTCATGGGTCTCTTTATGTAGGTGCACACTAGCAAAGCCCCCAGGAGCCCCAAGAGCAAAAAGGTGACGAAGGAGGAGCTGACGGCACTCAGGACAAGCTCTTCGCTCCCTGCAAGAGAGGACATGGCAGAGTCTTCAGTGCACATAGCACGAGGGCCAGGAGGCTGAGGAGGATCCGTATCCCATGCACGGGGACCCCCCTTCCCTGGCTCCCCAGAACTCACTGTCCCTGTGGCCGATGGTGACGCACTGCTCGTCGGTGCGCGCGGTGCCGCTGTGCCGGCTGGCCACGCTGGGCTCCACGCTGATGCAGTACTCTGTGTCCCAGAAGAGGTTGCTGATGTTGAACTCCGGGGAGGTCTCCATCACTTCATACTGCAACGACCAGAGCGTGGGCTGGTACCTGAGAGCCCCCAGATCCTGCAGGAGTGCTGGCTTTGTGTGTTCCTCCCTCCTCCCCTCTTCCCTTGGGGTGCTACCAGCTAGACCCAAGCTCCCAGTGAGAAGTGGGGAGCCCACAGCAATAAGTCGTGCAGAGAAATCTTTGCAATGCTGTGGCAAAGCTCTATATTAAGTTTTACAGAAGCCTATACTTCAAAATGTGATTTCAACTTGAGCAGCACTGCATGTGGCAGATGGGGACAGCACAGGACCAGCAGTTCATCTCACCGTCCGATTGTCCTGTGCCCTCCTGATGTACACCCGGTATCGCCTCGCGTGCTTCTGGATGTCATCGTACTTCACAGTGAGGTTCCCCGTCCGGAGCAGGAGCTGCAGCTGCACGTGGATGGTGTTGCCCATCACAGAGAGGCTCTGGCCTGACAGGCGCAGACTGGCTGGAAACGGGTCAGTTGGAAGAGCACATCAGGGCTTTGTGCTGCTTGCAGCTCTAAAAGCTCTTTGCAGCGGTGGACTGAGCCGTGACTGTTGCCTACAGCCAGCACTGGATGTCCATGCTTTGTCTCATCCCATCCCACAGCCCGGCTGCCCTCCAGGTAGGTTTGAAAAGAGAGAAATCCCCGCTCCCGAAGTTCTTCCCAAGCCTGGGAAGACCTCTGCCATCCTTGCAGCCCCTGGCCATACAGTGGAGGCAGACACTCAACCTACCTTCTTGCGGGGAGAAAGAGTTGGTCCTTTGCCATGGGGATGTGTGGTTTCCAGACACAGCCCTGACCCGCGCGTAGTAGCGGTGAGCAGAGTCCAGGGTGTAGTACGTGAGGTCACAGGAGTGCCCTGGGATCCTCATGCAGTTCGGGATGGCCGTCCAGGATTGATTCGTGCCATAGCTGCAGGGAGAAGCGCCTGGGTGAGAGCAGTGCGGGCAGGACTCTGCTGTCACCGCTGCCAGTATCAGACCCCAGGCAGGGGCTGAGTCCCCTCGCACCCCATCCCTGTACTCACACTTTGTGCTCCACTTCATAGAGGATGCTGCTGGGGGGGTTGTGGCCCGGCTCCCACCGCAGCAGATGATGGGCTATCTCCGCAGCAAAGCGCACCCGTGTTGGCCTCGCCAGCCTCTCACCTGCAGGACAGGAGGGCATTAAGTGATGATGCATGGTTCCTATCCCACTGGTGCCCTCAGGAGCTGGGCAGAGCTCCTTGGGGTTACCTGGAGCTTGACCCCTGTGGTCAGCAGTGACCAGCCACCTACACCAGAAGCACAAGGGTTTCCTGTCCCACTTCCAAGTTTCAGTGTGTGCTCAGCCCCCTCTTTCCCTTCCTCGCTTCTGGGGAGAGCCCAGCTAAGAGGATCTGGGTGCTTTTCTGGTCTAAGAGCAGAGCCTGCTCTATTTGCATCCCTGACCACCCCTGCCATCTGCTAGCAGCTTGCTCTGGATTCAGCTTTCTTGTTTTGCTTCTCTGCTGTCTGACAGAAATAGACTTTTTCACACCTCCTGGCTCAGTTTTGGTATTGTCACCTTGCAGCAGAGCATTGCTCGATAACATCTGCCCCTCTCTCTATGCTTGTTTCCCCAGCAGCCGCTGTCTGCTCCTGAGCCCCAAGCCTGCCTGGGGAGGATGGCTGTCAGCAGAGCACCGTGCCAGCCACCTGCGTTCACTGCAATACAAGGTGCTGTGGTCACACCGGTGGGGATAAGCCAGGCTGATGCCTCAGAACTTCACCCACAGTCGTTCTAACTGCCCAAACAGCGACGGCAAGTGGTGAGCGGGGAGCCCTGCCTCTGGGCACCACCAGCCTGTGCTGCCCAGCCAGCAGCGGTATCCGAGCAGCCCCACTCACCGCCTGCCTGCGAGCCTTCCCCCATGCCAGTCCCCATCCCGTGCTGGGATGCCGGGAGCGGAGCAGCCTGCCGGGACCGCGGGGCTCAAACACAGCGCGCCGGGAGCTGCGGGCAAGAGACTCACCGAGTGTCGGCTGGGCGAGGAGCAGCGCTGCGCACAGCGCCAGGGCTGTGCCGAGGGGGTCCATGCCGGCTCAGCATCCTCTGTGCGCCCTGCGCCGGGGGAGCGGGTGCTGAGCGCTGCCCCGCGGGCTGCGTGCGCTTGTTTTTCCCCTGGAGGCTGGCCCGGTGACGTCTCGGAGGCGTTAGCGCAGCGGGAGGAAAGGAGCTGCGCAGCGGCTTCCACTTCTCTTCGCTGTCCTCCCACTCACCGCAGCTCATCTGGGCCCAGGCTGGGCATTTCCTACAAGCAGCCTTAAAGGAAAAGTTGGGGGGGGCTTTTCTCTCACTGCTGAGAGACACTGCTGTGTCTGCCTCTGCCGGCTTCATTGTCTAGTGAGGAGGTAAAAGCACAGCACAGAGGTGAGCTTAGCGCTTAGGGTGACCGACGACAGGGTGCTGAGCACAGCAGTGTCACCTTGTGCCAATGTCCTGTGCCTAAAGCCAGCCAGGTCATAGCCAGCCCTGGAGCCCCAGGACACTGGAATCCCCTTTCCTGCTTTCCCTTCCTTTGGGCTCAGGCCATATTCTCCTGCTTCAGTCTTCAAAGAGGGGCTGTAAACTGTCCTCAGGTCAACCAGACCGACCTGGGTCCTGGGACAGCAGTGATGCACATTACTGCAGGGATCCAGCCCCACGATGATGTCCTGCCCTCTGATGCCCCCCTCAGGTTCTAGGACCTGAATTGCCATCGACCAGACTGGGAGTCCTCTGGTTTGCCTTCTGTCAGTCTGAATTACAGCACAGGGCTTGAGGGCTTTCCTAGGGGCTGTGCAAACGCAGGGGCCCTCATGTGGTAAAGAACAATTTGTCTCAAAAAGAGGAATTTCCCACTGGGGAATTAGGGGGAAGGACACAGATAAGAAGAGCAAGAGAAACTGAGAGTGCGCCTGACAGCCTCAAAAAGCTGAAGAGCAGTGCCTGTCTTGGCAGGCATAGAGGCACGGGACCTTGGGTCCTTCTGTGCGGCAGAGGGGATTCAAGGAGCCCTCTGAAATGCCTCAAGGGGAAGATTTCTGGTTTGGTTTTCTCCTGGCCCCTGACTCATGCTCCCCGCTGAAGCCCAGGGGCTTCCATGAACTCGCAGCCTTGTCAGAGCCCCAGCAAACGGGTCAGGATGGGTCCAGCGGTGCCACTGGGCAGCAGGGTGTCAGGCACGGCACGGTGGCACAGCTGGCTCTTGCGGCACCCAGGGACAAGCAGGCTTCAGCTCCGCTCTGCTGGGGCTATGGGGAATGAGGGCATGTGGTGGTTGTGGTGCTGGATGCTTGGCACAAGAAGAGGCTCTCCCTTGGCAATTCCTCTGCTGAGCACCAGCCATGGGGATGGGCAGGGAGGACTGCTCCAGCAGCAGATCCCTCCCTGGTTTCACCCTAGCTTGGCTTTATTCCTCCCTCTTTGCGAGCGATCTGATGTGCTGTCACTCTTCTATCAGCTCGTGAGTCAGAGCTGGCAACCGCTGACTTCGGAGTTCTGAGGTGAAGCACAGCCCATCCCACACAAAACCACAGCTCATCTTTTGTGTAAGGACACCAAAATCAAAAGCAACGGGACCAAAAATGCGGAAGGAGGGAGCCTTGTGGAAAGACACCGTGGGGCTGATGCTGCGGGTGAGCGGTGCAGAGGCTGAGGAGGAACGGTTGGCAATTTAGAGGAAAATGAAACAAGCAGAGGAGAAATGACAGTTCTGCTGAACACTTGGATCGTGAGCAGCAGAGCCACCCGTGATGCTTGTACTGCAGGGTGCCACGGGAGGAGCTGGTGCTGGACACAGCAGTGCCTGCCTGCTCCATAGCTCAAGGTGTAGCTGCTTCCCAGCATCCCTATCTTGTCACTGCTTTGCCCTCATTCTCCATGAAATACACTTGAGGCTGCAGGATGGTGCTACCTTTGCTGCCACCGGCTCCGCTAAGAGGGACTACAGGGAAAACAGGGCAGACCCATCTTCCCAACCAGAGGCAGGTAAGCACAGCATCCCCTGCCCAGCATGCCGCTGTGTCCTGTGCAGTCCCTGCAGCCCCAGCACAAGGACCTGGTGATACACACAGACATCAGGCGTTGCTGACCACCTAAAACACCTCAAAGCATCACTAAGAAGAGCAGCCCTGCATGTCAGCAGGAGAGGTTTTGAGCTCATGGATCAACAGCCCTAGAGAAAGCCGCCAAGTTTCCTTTTCATCTTAAAAATAACTGACTCATCTGTGCATAGGAATACCCATGGGTTTAGTAACCTGGAAATCACCTCAGTCCAACAGCACAGCAGGTCTTTCACCAGAGCCTCTGCAGCTCCTCTCTGGCACAGCAAGGGCTGGGGCTGCAGCAGCCCCACTAGGCCTGGGCACCCGCTTAGCCAAGGGGCTGCCCAGGTCCATGGGGCAGTGCATGGAGCTGGAGGGCTGCTTCTGCATGGGCACAGCCCTGCCGCAGGACAAAGCGCTTTGCCTGGGAGAGCAGAGTTATCCTTTCACCATTCCCTCATGCCTGGAGGTCAGAGCAGAGTGTGGAAGAGCTGCTGGGCTTTCCCAGGCTCTGTGTGCTATTAGCACCTCGTTTGGCTAGCTGGGAGGGCAGGAGTGTGCAGCAGGGCTCCTGGAGCAGTTACCAGCAAGCAGGATTTCATGCGGGAGGTGTTGTGCGCGCTGTGACATTTAACATCAGGTTGCTGGGGTCAAGCCCAGACGCAGGGCTCTCTGTAACTCACTCTCTGTAGGTGGTTTTGCAGAAACACCAACAAGCAAATCATTCCTGGAGCTGCCTCTTGGAGCTGCTCTCTGAGAACCCCGTTTCAGAAGAGGATGTGCCAGCTAGCACAGGCACGCAGGCAAGGCCAGCTCAGGGCAACCCCAGCCAAAACCCTCTTGTGAGCCCTTGCATCCCGGCGGGACAGAGCCCTCTATATGCTGTTAGGCCTCTGTGTGAAAACTAGAGGTGAAGGGCATGAACTGATCCCTCTGGGAAGGGATGGGACGGAGAATCCTGGGGCAGTGGGACCCATCCTGGGCTTTTTAGCCTTGAAATCAAGGGGGCTTTGAAGCAAGTTTCCTTCAAGTTCGAATGGCGCTGCTGCCTCCTGCCCTTCGGATGAACAGGTGTGGGTGGGGAGCAGATGAATAAGGGACTTATGCTATGATTAATGCCAACAGAAATGTGCCTGGAAAACAGTGTCAGGATGGGGCTCACAGGAGGCATCATGCTACCAAACAGAGCCTCCTGGAACCAGGCCATTGGAGAGGTTTCCTTCCTCCTTGCCGAGCCACACGAGGATGTTCTGGACTTCTCAGGCCCCTGGGGTTCACAGGATGGTTTAGCTGGTTTGGACACGGCTGCGCATCCCTTCGTCTCCCTCGGATGGAGCAGGAGATGTGCTGAGTGGGCACACAGAGGAGAAGGAGAACCTTGAGAGCAGTGAAGGGACCCCAGTGCCCAGGATGCTGCTCATCCCCAGAGCCAGCCCTCCTCTGCTCCCATAGCCAAGGCTCCTGCTCCATGGCCTGGCTGGGGGAGCCGGCAGCAGAGGCAGGTGTTTTGCAGGCTGTGCCTGGAGCAGTTGGGAAACGGGCTGGTCGAACTGGTTTCCCTCCGCACCCGGCGCTGGCACTGACGTACGCGCCCGCTCGCCAAACACATTCTGCCCCGTCCCCACGGACCTGACTTGGCTCCGCACGGCGAAGGATGGCTGTGCCGGAGCTGTGAGCACAGCACAGCCCTGCACTGGCCCATGGACCTGAAACCATCTCTGGTAAGGCACGGGCAGCTCCGACCCGGCTCTGTATCCGTATGGACCCGCTTTCCTTAGGGGTTGGTGAAGGGCCCAGTGTCTCCTCCTGCTCTCTGGGGCGTTCCCTTCATAGCCTATTGCTGCCAGAGGGGAGAAGGACCTGGATTGAGCTGCCTATGGGGCTGCTGCCTCCTGCCCCCCTCGGCACATGGAGGGAGGAGGAATGCCGCCAGCATTCCCAGTGTCAGCAGAGGAGGCCTTAGGGCCCCTGGCACAGCTGCTCTTCCACACTGGAGTGAGTTTCGAACCAGGGGGACGGGCTGGTGGCAGCCAGTGCCGCTTGGCACCCATGGGAGCTGCACCGCTGACATTCCCACAGCAGGTCAGTAGCAGTGGCAGCACACTGGTGCTCTCCTTTCCCACTCTCCTGGCAGTTTTCCCTGTGCTCTTTTGGGGCTGGGTTGCCCAGGGCCTGCTCGGTCTCAGCTGAGCATCCTGTCATGGGGAAAACATCCATCCCCAGCCGGGCACTGGGCTCAGCCCGCCCGGGCGAGGCGGTGGGTAATTACTGCACCACCCGGAACGTGCAGAGCCGGCAGTGACGGGGTGGATGGGGCTCGATGGGCTGGCCTGCCCCCAGCACTGCTGAGCAGCACGATCCCAGCCCTGGGTACCACCAAAAGCAGGCAGCAGCGTTGTGGCTTGGTGAGATGGGGGCAGGAACTGGCATGCCCACGTATGGAGGCAATTACCTGATACTGGATACTCACACTGGGCCACCCTGGGTTTGTCACCTGGTTTAAATGGTCCATTAGGAGTCTCAGGTGCCACCCTCATCTCCTCATCTTTCTGTGCCTTGGTTGGCCTGTCTGTGCCTTACTCACCCCCTAGAACATTTTCTGATCTCTCTGCCTGAAGAGCTGCTCACACAGGCATAGACCAAGCTGTCCCTGGCTATTGGGGATGACTCAGTCAATGGCACTTGTCATCTGCACTTGAAAATATCCCTTATGTGCTTTGGGATTTCACTTCCCTGTGTGTCGCCCCTATACGGCATCTAACAGGAGCACCCTCCTGCAGCTCCTGCCTGATTTGTCCCTGAGGATGGGGATCTGCCCCTTGAAGGGAGGCTCCATAGGATGGGTATCACCAAGAGGGAACAGGAGCTTTCCCAGGCTAGGGAGGGTTTTGTGTCAGGTGAGTGCGAGGACAATGTCACTACTGTGTGCTTGCTGAGCACGGTCTGCTCTCTACAGCCATGTTAACAGATGATTCTCTACCTGAACAATAGCAGCTGCTGGCACAGGAGACGGAGGGAAGTTATCAGGTGCCCTGCACAGCCCTAATAATACCGGGTGCTACAGAGTGGCTGCAGCTGCCGCGATGGATCTCTGCCGATAAGAAAGGGGCCAGCTATTTAAACTCACCTGCCTCTTTCTCCGCTTGATGCTCCAAGCCTTGGGTGGCTGCTGAGCCCAGAGCTGGGTGCCGGCTCTGGTTGCAACACCTCAGGTCTTGCCTGGCTTCCATGCTCCCTCCCACTCTCAAACTGGCTGCTGGCTGGTTTCCCTGCCTTTCCTCCCATCAGGCATAGATGCTGAGCCTCCAGCCAGCACCGTCCTGCCCCTGGTGATTGCCTTCTGCTGCGGATTTGGTGGCCAGTGAGTCCAGATTCATGGAGGGTGGGCAGTGCAAGTGGTAGTTCAAGGTGCAAAGGGGGTGGGCTTACTGTGGTGCTGCTGTCTGTGGCATAGGTGCTCTGCCCAGCTCTGCTCAAAGCCTTATAGCAGAGAAAGTGTGATGGTTTTTTGTTCATGACAGGTATAGCAAGGGGCTCAGCCAAAAGACAGGCACTGTCTGCTCATCCCCCAGGCCCAGGAGCGAGACAGAGTCCCCCTGCATCCCCAGCGTCCCTGTTCCCGGCTGTTGGAAGGTCAGCCCTGCCATGGGAAGGAGCTGGTTGTGCCTCCCTCCCCCATGCCTGGCTTTCAGACACCAGCCACAGCAGCACATAACGCTCTGGTGGAGCGTTTGTAGGGAGGATGCTCAGAACAAGGCTCAAACCACAGCCACGCGTGCAAGATAAGGCATGGCTCCACGTCTGACTTTTACTCAAAAGCCAGCAAAGGATGAGTAAAGGGTTTGTGGGCAGAAGTTGCTGCTCACTCACCAGGGCAATGCACGTTCCTTAACAGAAGTCTCTGTGTGAAGCCACTGCAGTTTGTTCTGTGCTCCAGTAGCTGTGCAACAGCAACCAGTTCTACTGGTTACCAGTGGCCTGTGGTAAAAGTTTTGTGAGCTTCTGTGATAGATCTGAAATAAAAACCACTTGGACTTTAGCCTTTGGAGGAAATAAGTAGCTAATAGGTCACCTGTGTTTCCTGCTAAGGAGTGTTGAGAGCAATGTAACCTATACCATAGTTAGGTGTTGATTTCAAACCTATGCACACTGGAGATGGCAATGCTCTAGCATCCACCGCCACTGGCTTACTGATGGAGCTGGAAAGATTTGCCCTCTATAGCACTAATTCTGCTCATCTGTTAGCTGAAGGGTTACACTTGCTGCAGGATGGGGCATGGGAAACACAAGATGTGGACATAGGGTACAAATGGCAGTGTGAATGGTACTGTGTGGGTATTGACAAAAACCTCACTGATTCTTAGAAGGGAGATGTTCTTTTCCTAGGAAGGCTTCCTGGCATCCATACATTGCTTTGTTTCTACAGAGGAGCAGCACCTGCTGCAGCTCTGGCTCTTTTGCTGATTGCATCCCCTTTCTAACAAGGCACTAAGGTTACCCAGGGAGGTTTCATGGCATGAAGAACTCGAATCCCACTGGCACGACTGTTTAAGCTTATTAGGGGAGGACACTGCAGGCATTCTGCAGCCCTGCCGTGCCAGCCCAACCTCAGAGCACCAAGGAGCTCCCCAGCACCTTTGGGAGAGCCGTGAGAAGCCAAGCCTGCAGCAGGGATGTCCTGAGCTGGCCCACATGGAACTCGGGTGTAGGGAAACTGATCTTTGGCTCCAGGCTGAGCAAATTCAGGCTTGTTACTGCTGCTGATGGTAAGGGATGAGGAAGAGTGGGCGATGCTGTGAAACAAACATGCTCTCATTGCATGCAGGAGACCAGAGAGCTGCTGGGATCCCCTGATGGGATGGGGAGGTGGCTCTTGGCGGCTAGGAGACATTAGTGGTGGCCATGCCCAGGGCCCGCAGGCAGCAGAAGGAGCTGAAGCCCGTGGTGCTGTGCCTGCGGCTCCACGGCTGATGCTCCCGGCTGCGAGCAGCTCCTGAGGCACAGCAGAGGCGCTGGATGTGTCCTGTGTCCTGTGATGCTCAGCGCGGGCCGAGGCGGGCTCTGTGCAGGGCGCTCGTGGCCACGCCGGGTGCGTGACTCAGGGGATAATGCCCAGGAAGTTACACCACTGCATTGCGAGAGAGGGCACAGCCCGATTCACAAGGCACGAGCCTGAGCAGGCTCCCTACTCCCAGCAGGAAACACGGGAGTAGAGGAAACCCAGCTGGTAGGGGGTGACTTGGCGGCAGTCCTCCCGCTCTGCCCAGCATCCCCATCCTCTCTGCCCATCCCAGAGGCAGGCACCATCCCGCGTGCTGCTCGCCGGCTTGGCAGGGAAAAGGGATGCCTCTGGTCACCTGGAAATGTCACCTCTAGCAACTGCAGGGCCAAAACCCAGGCACGGGCTTCCAGAGGGACGTGTCTGAGCCAACCGCTGGCTGGTAAGAGCTCCCTGGGAGGTGGGGCTGGGAGTGGGTACCAAGCTGCGCTCTGCTGCCAAAGGATGCAGGGACTTCTTTAGGGTTGGATGTAGCCCGAATCAGACTGGCTTCCCTTGAGCAGGCTGGTGTAAAGGTGGTTTGTTGTGGCTGTGTGGTGCTGGGAGACGGGCTGAGGAGCGAGGCAGTTGGGTGACCTGCTGAGGATGAAGCCCAGGAGGGGCTGTCAGTGCTGTGTGCTGGCTGGTGATGGCCTTGCCATCCTTCTAAGGCACGCAGCCATTTCTTATTGCTAGAGATGTATCTGAGATGTTACAAGGGGCAGAGGAAACAGCATTTGGCTTGGGCTTTGTACGCAGTTTGTTTCTGAAGGAAAATGAGAGGCTCTTGCTTCAGCAGCTGATGGAGCACTTGGAAGAGTGCATCTTAAGGAAAGGAAACAAATACGTGTTCTTTTAGAAATTCGTGGATCAGGAGTGACACAACTGCAGAGCAGCATTCCAGGATGCAGGATGTTTCAGGGCTTGGAAAACACTGATTATTAAGTCTTACTAAATAACAACTGGAAATTGCCACGTATTTTTCAGATGGCTAATTAAGGACAGATACATAAATTGGGGCACTAGCCTCATGGAACTGGGCCACAGTGTGACTGACCTGATGCCAAGTGCTCAGCTGATCACTCTCATCAAAGTGATCAGTTTGGGAGATTTGGCCAGCAGCTTTGTGACAAAGAGGTTTTCAGCTGTCCCACATGGGGTACAGCTCCGGCTTCCTGTACAGAAAGAGGCAGTAACAGCAGTAACCATCCATGTGGCTCGTGGTGCTGTGGAGGAATAGGCACCACATTGGATGCCCATGCTGGGGAGCTTGGTCCATGTCCTGGGCAGCAGGGTGGCAGCTCTGGTGCGCATCAGTCATTGCTAGTAAGGGTGTCCTGTGCCTGCAGACCACTGCATCGCCCGGCAGTGCGCCTCCCAGCCTCCATGCCTCTGCACCCCGCAACATCTTCGGTTCCCGACCCCTGAGGCCTAAAGAAAACGTGCTCTGCACCAGCTTCAAGCCCTACAGCCCAGAGTCCAGCCCAGCCCCGGCGCCCTGCACGGCCTGTGAGAGCACACGTAAGAGCATGGTGCCGAGGGGGGGCTCTGGCCTCCCTGGCCCTAGGGTGGGCAGGGATGGAGGGAGGCGGGAGTGGGTGTCTGTGCCCACTGCTGGCACAAGCCTCAGCCACAGGATGGTGTTTCGAGGGGTGTGAAGCGTGCTGGGGGAAAGAGGACAGGGACCATGGCAGGATGGGGGAATGCTATGGGGCAGTGTGGGGTGTGCGTGGCCCTGCTCTCCCATGTCTTATGGGTCCTCTGAGCAGTGTGCATGGGGAACTGGGGAGCTCCTGGCATGGACTGGTGGGCAGCAGGGTCTGGGCACCCTGGGGACACAGAGGCTCCCCCTGACCCTGCCTCTGCCCTCCTGCCAGGATCCTCCATGTTCAGAGCTCCCTGCATGAGCCAGCGACGGCTTGCACTCATCTTCTGTGTTTCCATCCTCATCGTGCTGCTCATCGCCCTCATCCTCCTGTGTGAGTGGGGTCCCAGCCTGGGGTGGTGCAGGGCTGCCTGGGGGTCAGCAGAAGGTGGGACATCTACGCTGGGAAGTGCCATAGGGAAACCCCGGGGCCGGGAGGCAGCAGGCAGAGAAGCGCCCTTCCCATTCCCTGAGCGTTCCTGACATCTGGTGGACACGCAGGAGCAGGATTGCCAGGGAAAGGGGATCCGCCTCTTGGGCTTGCTCCAGTTGGCACCCCCAGCAGCATCCCCATTCGCCCTCCCTGAGACAGAGGGTTAGCAGGCAGGACCTGTCAGACAAAGTGCAGTCCATAGCTAGAACGGGAACACGCACTGGGGAATTCAATCCTTGTAACATCTTGCTGCTGGTGGGCTTGATGCATCTTTCTGCAGGATCAAGCTAGGACTGGGTTAAGGGAGGGGTTAAGTGAGAGGTTAAGTGGGGTTAATGATGCTGGGCTGGCATAGGGATGCTCAGAGTGGTCCACTCCTCCTGCAGCATTTCAGCCTGGCCTCAAAGCCAGTGCTGCACCCAGCTCACACCTTGTGTATGGGGGTGCCCCATGCACCGAGACCTCCTCCAGACTCCCATCCGGGGGGCTCACAGCACCCTTGCCAGCAGCAAGCCCCTGCTCACCCCAGCGTTCATTGCTTTCAGTTATGTTCTGGCGGTCACAGACGGGCATCGTGTACAAGGAACCTGCCGAGAGCTGCAAGGACAACCCCGTGCGCTGCAACGGCGTCGTCGACTGCTCCCAAAGGAGCGATGAGCTGGGCTGTGGTGAGGCACCGGGAGCTGGGTGGTGGGAGCGAGGGGAGCCCCTGTGCTCGGGGTACCACTGACCCGCCTGCTCCATCCCACAGTGCGCTTTGCATCCGAAGAGTCCTTGCTCCAAGTGTATTCCAGCTCGGAGAACCAGTGGCTGCCGGTGTGCAGCAGTGCCTGGGACGATTCCTTCTCCAGAAAGACCTGCCAGCAGCTGGGATTTCAGAAGTAATTCCCTGAGGATGGGTTGTTATCCTGGGCAGTGGAGCCCTGCCAACCCCATGGGCACTGGCTGGGCGCATGGTCTGCTGTGCTCTCTCCCCAGCACTGCACTTTTCTGCTGGAAGGCTGTGTCTGGTGCTGCTCTGGGTGTTTCACTCTGTCCCCCTTTGAGTGTGTAGGGACTGGGTGGTCAATGCCTCGCCAGGGCAGGCTCACTGCTCTCTCCTCTCACCTCCCAGTGCCTCGCAGACCGAATACGTTCCCCTGCACATCTCTGGCAAGAGCCTCACGGTGACCAACGAGCATGAGACCATCCAGCAGAGCCTCAACAGGTACCCGGCAGCGCTGCCTCCTGCCCCTGCCCTGCTGTCGTGGGGCTGTGTCTGAGGCTCTGTTCCCCCTTCTCTCCTGCAGCTCGCAGTGTCTCACGGGAAAGTTCGTCTCCCTGCGATGCACAAGTAAGGGGCTGGCTGGCAGGGCAATGGCCAAGGGTAGGAGCTGCTTTCCTCCCTTCTTTGCACAGGGCTGGGCAAATAGGGAATGTTTCCCAGCAAATCTTCTGGGTAATAGAAAGCTATGATTGCATTCCCGGGGTGTCCACCGGCCCCTATGGCCGTAACTGAGCACTGCCGGTGCCTACGGGTGGTGGGGATGCCTTGCACACCCCCCTCCAGGCTTTGCCTTCTCTCTGGGCCCTTCTCTCAGCCTTGCTCTTCCCTCCAGCCTGTGGGCAGAGGATTTCTGGCCGCATCATTGGAGGAAAGGAGACCTCTGTGAGCAAATGGCCCTGGCAAGTCAGCGTGCAGTACGGGCCAGTCCACATCTGCGGTGGCACCATCATCGACGCGCAGTGGGTCCTCACTGCAGCCCACTGCTTCTTCATGTGAGTGCTGCTGCAGTGCTGCTGTTTAACCACTGCTGAGTGCCCTCGCTCAGGCACTCAGCCCGGGCCCACGTCTCACTCCTTGCTGCCTCCACCTCTCCCTGCAGGAACAGCATGAAGATCCTCGATGACTGGAAGGTGTACGGTGGGGTCTCAGACCTCAAGCAGCAAGCAGAGGCCATCCCCGTCTCCCAGGTCATCATCAACTCCAACTACAGTGATGATCACGATGACTACGACATCGCTCTCATGAAGCTCTCCAGGCCGCTGACACTCTCAGGTGAGGCCTCTCAGCTTGTTTTTGCTGTGGGGCTGCTGCTCAGGGGGGAATGGAGAGATTCTGGCAGTGGGCAGGAGCAAGAGGCAGCTCTGTCCCCTCATGAGGAACCATTCCCTGGGCTGCTGCCAGCTGGAGCATCCTGCTCTGCTGTGCCCATGCTACTTTCCCATGGCTGGGCACCATCCCATCCTGCCCTGGCAGGTCCTGGTGCTCACACTGCCATGGGCTGCGGGTCCAGCAGAGACCCTGCCCGGGTGGGCACTGGGGGGGAGTGCTCCCTGCGCACCGTGCTCCTCCCTGGCCACAGGGCTGGTGACCACAGCAGGAGCTCTGCTCCCTTGGTGACTCATTCCTTCCTTCTCACCCGGTTTTCATCCCGTCTCGCTCCAGCTCAGGTTCGCCCAGCCTGCCTCCCCATGTACGGCCAGCGATTCCAGACCGGCAGGTCCTGCTTCATCACCGGCTTCGGGAAGACCAGGGAGAACGAAGGTGAGGGAGGATGCAGGCTCTCCTGCATGCTGCAGCGTGCAAGAGGAGCCAGCCTGGCTCTGCTGTGGTATTCAAGGGCTGTTCCCACAGTGCAAGAAACCAGCTTCTTCCCTCACTGCTGCAGAAACGCTGGTGCTGGGAGGGTCTCGGGTGTGTTGGGGGCACAAGGCCCACCCTGCCCCACAGCTCCTCCTGCCTTGCAGATAACACATCCCCGAAGCTGCGGGAGGCCGAGGTGAAGCTGATCGACTACAAGATCTGCAACAGCGACAAGGTGTACGAGGGGTACCTGACCCCACGGATGATGTGTGCCGGGTACCTGCAGGGAGGGAAGGATGCGTGCCAGGTGAGCTGTGGGGGTCCCACAGGGCGAGGTGGGACGATGGTGTCCTTTGGCTGAGTACCAGCAGAGGAGCATTTCCCATATCTGCTGTGACAGGGTGACAGTGGAGGACCCCTGGTCTGCGAGGACAACGGCCGCTGGTATGTGGCTGGGGTGACGAGCTGGGGAACAGGATGTGGCCAGAAGAACAAGCCCGGCGTCTACACACGTGTGACAAAGCTCCTCAACTGGATACACAGCAAAATGGAGGTGAGGTGATGTGTCAGGGCTGGGGGGCTCGTCAGGTGCATCGGGGTGCATTGAGAGGGGCTGTTTCCCCCCAGCCCAGCCCCTCACCCTTGCTATTCCCTCTCCATTGCAGAGCGAGAATGACTAACACCGGGATGGACGCTTGCCTGGGCTGTGCTCTCAGGCCAGCACAAGCCCCTGCCCTTGGCTGCTCCTAGGGCACGATGCTACCAACAGATCCCCCCACCTCTCTCTGGACTGTGCCTGCAGCCAGGGCCCTGCTGCTGTGCCCAGTCTCTGCACATACAGCACCTGCAAAGCGACTCTGCCCTCGAGCCGTGCAAGGGGGCTGGTGGCAAAGCACGCACCCAACCCTGGTCCCGCAACGGCTTTCTGGTGCTTCTCATGTAAATAGATGTGTCCGGACTGGGGTGTCCTGAGTGCTTCCTGGCAGGATCAGCGGGTGAGGGGCTGCTGGCATTGCCTGCCGATCCCATGGAGGTGGTGGATGGAAGTGAGGAGCAGGAATGCCATGGGATGCCTGTGGCTGGTCACAGTTGTGCTGCTCTGGGGTGCAGCATGGTGCTGCCCACACCACAGGCCATGCTCCCTGTTCTCTCCATGGGAGGCAAGCAAAAGGGAGCCCCGAGGAGCAGTAGCTGCTCACGTTGGCAGGTAGGTTTAGGAAGTGCCTGTAAGAGAAAACCCTGTCTGTGCATTTCCCGTGCTGTGGATAGGGTCTGAGCTCTCGCTCCAGGACTGCGTGCGGCTGGGCTCTGTTTCTGCCTGCTCGAGGAGGATGCCAGCAGCAGCACGGGGCAGGTCTGCTCTCTGGGCTGTCACAGAGGCCAGCAGCAGCCAGAGGCTGAGGTGGAGTGCGATGCAGATCAGCAACCTCCGGGGCAGAGCCAACCCTGGACCTCGCTCTTAGCGCATTGACCACTGTGGATGTCTTTCGTTACCTCCCTGTTCACGCCAGAGAGGGGACACATTAACCCCAAGGAAACAAGTGCCAGCATCTCCCTGTGGAAGCTATGGGAGACCTCCAGGTTGGCTGTGCGAGTGCCTGTTGGGTGAGAAGAGGCTGCTGCCCTTGCTGAGGCTCCTGTCCCAGATGTGTGGTCAGCAGCAGAGGGGTCCTGGGGTGCTTGGCCACTGCACTCAATAAACGTTTTGGTAGTGCCCTGTGTGGAGATGGCTCTTTTGGAGTGCCCAGATGCTGTGGGAGCTGCAGGAAGGGCTCTGTGGATGCTGTGGATGCAGGATGAAACACTTCCCTGAGGAGGCTGCACAACCTCTGCAATTGGCCTGTGTCAGAGGACTGGCAGTAATGAGCATTTAGCATTGAATCCTCCTTGGGAGGAGGAAAGGTTGCTTGTGCTGGTTCTTTGTAACCCATCTTCTTGCAGCTGGAAACTTTAAAGGAGGGACTGGTGCTCTGGGGAGCTCACTTTGAAGTAGTTGAAAGCTGCTTCACAAGCCTGTCTGCACCAGCTCCAGCTGCAGCGGTCCCTTCCCTCCCCTGCATGGGAGTGTGATGTCCACCTCTGTTTCCCGGCTTCTGACCTGCATTCCTTAGTGTGGCCATTGGAACTAGATGATGTTAAGGTCCTTTCCAACCTGAACCATTCCGTGATTCACTGGGCTCTTTGTGGCCTGGGAGGGCTCACTTCTCATAAGCATGCTGGAGATGTAAAGATGGGAAATCTTGGGGTGCTGCATGGGCTGCTGTAGGCACATCCCCATCTCACCTCCTGGGAGCATCCCCTGGGTTCCTAGAACCGGCTGCCTGCCGTGGAAAAGGTTAGCTGCAGGCAGGGTGCTGTGGTTTGCATTTCAGCGTTGGGATAGCAGGTCCAGCCCGGATCTGTGTGTGCAGAAAGCACCCAACCCTCCCTGGGACTTGGAGCAGGCCCCAGTGTGCAGGGAGGTGCTTGTCGGCTGCCCTAGACCTGGCCCCAGACAATGAGAGCTGCTGCCTTTTGGGAAGCACTGAGTCAGCCTGACCTCAAAGCTGCTTGTCAGAGCAGCAGCACAGAAACCTCCCACGGCATGTGTGAGCCTCCAGCACAGGACAAGGGGCTGTTCTCACATTATAATGCCTCTGCTGCTCAGTCAGCTGGGGAGGAAGAACCTGCTACTGGCAACAAGCTGCCCATAGCTCAGGCCGGAGAGGGATGCTCCTGGTAATGGTGCTGTTTCAGCACATGGAGGGACCTGCTCCTCTGCTGTGAATCTCATAGGTTATTGCTCTTCTGCTCTCTGAAATAGTCTCTCAAAGCAGAAAAATTATTTCAGCCCTTATAATTTAATTCTTCTAAACACCAATGGTGTTTCCTGCTGTGTTTTCCCGAGGGATGAAGGTTTCTAGACAGTGATCAGTTTCTCATAAAGCTGCTCTGGGGCATCTTCTGAGATGAGGGGCCCTGAGCGTGGCCCCACATCTGCCTGTTTCCAGCCCTGTGTGCTTTGGAAATCACAGGCCAGTGTTCCCAAGGACTGTGAATGCCAAAAACGCAGTCTGGCGGGCACCATGTGAATTACCGCCCATTAGCAGCCCTTCTTCCCAATCCCTCCTTTTATAGCGCTTTGTTCTGTTGTGTCAAACTGCTCTGTTTATAGCGTTTCAGAGATGATGTTTCTCTACAAAAATGTTTTTTTCCATAGTTTCGCCTTGGTTCCCTTCCACAGGCAGTAACATCATCACTTGGCACGGAGTCGCTGGACTTCCAGCTTGTGCAACACCCACCCTGGCTGTGCTGGCCTAAGGAACACAGCCCTCAGCAGCTCCAGCACGGTCTGGTGCTTTGCTGGTGGTTGTTCCGAGTACAGGCAATGACTTAGGCTGATGCAAAACGATGTTATTGGGTTAAACGCAGCCATATGGCTACACACAACTTTTGGCAGTGCTCAGTTCTCCTGACCAGGCTCAGGGCTGCATTGCCACAGTTTTGCAAGCTTGGTGTTAGAAGGGAAAGACCTTAAAACTGGAGGGGAAAGCTCTGGAGAGCAAGAGTCTCTTTTCCCTATTTCCTGCCAGGCATCACTGCACTGCAGGGGGGAGATGCCTGCTCCATGGCTCCTATTGACACAAATAGTATGAGGAGCTCAGCCCAGCATCATCTGCCTGGCCTCGGGGCTGTTAGCCCACATTACACCAGAAAAGATATGGCCCAATTTTGCCGGTAAATGAACGATGGCTTGGTACAGTTCTCTCTCTGCAGATGAGATGTCTGCCATTAGCAACTGCTGGAGCTGCTGTCCCTCCATGGGAGCAGCACAGAGGACCCATCACTTCCTACCTTCACCCTGGGGTCTCTATTTCAACAACAGCTGAGGAGCAGGTAAGGTCAGAGAAGCCCGAAACTTGATTATAACTGCCTGATCCCTGCCTCGCTCCCTGCAGGATAACGAACAGCCTTATGTTATCCTTACGTATTAAAGGAGACTTGACATTGTCCAGCTCCTCTCTGTTGCTCTGTATCTCTTCACCCTTCTGAATAATTGCCTTGAAATGCCAGTGCTGGTTTATTTTCCTTTTATATTTTACTGGAAACAGGGAAATAAATGTACAATGGACTCCGTGACATTATTGCCTGATTCCTATCTAAGATGCATTTGAGTTATTAAGGAATGAACCAGCTCAGTGATGAGAGCATCGCTAAGGTGTTTTTACAAGAAGAAATGGCTCTCCAGGGCAGCAGCAGGAGCCAAGCAGACAGGGTGTGCCAGCCTGGCTCAACAGGAGCAGTGTCCCCCATAGCACTCTGCCATGCCCACCAGTGCCCTCAGTTGCCCCTCTGACACGGTGCCCAAGCCCTTGTTTTGGTGCTGTGGTCAGCAGCAGGGCAGGGCTCAGCAAACTGTGCTCCTGCTGCAGATGCCCATAGCCACATCTGGCCCTGGCCAAAGCCTGTGAGTGCCTCGGTGGCTCCAAGCAGGGCCAGGACCAGGGCTCCCCTCCCTGCTGTGGCTGGCCAGGCACATGCATTCCCTCTGGGGACTGTGCAGGGCTATATTAAACACATCTCCTTCCCGGATCTTGCTCCTCCCAACGTACCCAGCTGTCCCATGGGAATAAACTGGCGGGTTTCCACTGAGCTCCGTGACAGCTGCACTGGGTCCAGCCCTTGCTCTCTCTTGGTGTTTTGTCTTCACTGAAGTATCTGCTGCTTCCTGACCTGCTCTGGCTGAGCCCCAAAGGGTCTGGTTTTCTGCAGCTGGATCTGGTGGAGCCAATGCAGGTCCTAAGCTCACCTGAAGCCAAACCAGGTTCTAGCACCACCGAGCCAGGCCCAGCTGCCCGCTGCCCAGCAGGTCTGGCAAGGGTGACCCTAAAATGTGGCTGAGCAACATGACTTAAGCCCTGTGAACTGGCCACATGGTTTGGAAGTGTGGAGCCCTTTCCCAGCAACACCCTTCTGCTCCTGAAGCAAGAAAGAGAAGTTCCTGCACCATGTTTACCAGTTGATCTACACAAGCTTTCTATCAACCTCACTGAAGCTCTGGCAGCCTGTTGCTCAGCTGCCTCCATACCAGATGCTCAACGCGGGCTGAGTCCAGCTCTCGGGTGCGGACACGGATGTTCCCCACCCTGACGAGCGTTTCCCCTCCCGCCTGCGCCCCGCACGCCCTTCCTGCGGGCCCCACGCACCCCGACTGCAGCGAGGCACGTCCCGCCCGCCCCGACCCCCGTCTCTGGCGGCGTCCGGCTCCGGGGCTGCCCCCGTTCTGCTATGGGGGCACCGCGGCCCCATCCCCGCTCTCCCGGGGGGGCCGTGCCGGGCTGACCGCGCCCCCCCGCCGGCGGCAGGCACCGCCTCGTCCCGCCCCGCTCCCCTTTGTGCAGCAGCCCCGCTCTGCGCACACGCTGCCCGCTCCGCTTCGCTCCCACCCGGCACCGCCCGGAGCACCGGGCCGTGATAGCCCAGCCCGGTCCTGCCCGGCCCGACGCTGCCGCCCGCTCCAGCCCGGAGAGCTCAGGTGGGTCCGGCCGCTGCCGTTGCTCCCGGGAGAGGACGGCTCCTCGGTAGCGGGCGGCACGGGGTGGGTCGGGAGCCCTGCAGCGGTGAACCCGGCCCGGGGGCGGGCGGCTCGGGGGGCCGCGGCTGTTGGGGGCACGGCCCGGTGCCCCCGGGGCATCGCCCTGCGCCCGGGGCCGCCCGCAGCCCCCGCCCAGGCGGCTGCCATGGCAACACCGGGTACCATGGTTTTCCTCATCCCACCGTTGCCTGGTTACCAGCCCCCCCGTGCTGGGTGGATGCCCCGGCCGACCAGCGGTCCCCACCGGAGACCACGGTGGGTGGGAGAGCCCGGGTGTGCTCTGCCCTGGTGCTCCCGGGCTGGCCGGGCTCTGTGGCGCGCAGGGATGTCGCGGAGCAGGGAGGTAACCCTCCTCCCCAGGCTTTTGGCAGCGTTCTGGCTTGTGTTGTTAAATATTTTAGTAGCACCGTAGCAATACATAAACAGTCGAGTGCTTTATCCCAGGAAGGCTTACGAGAGGGAAGGAAGAGCGTGTCTCTCAGGGTGTGTAATTAATGCTGCCTGAAGAAACAGATAGCAGAGTCCATGTGGTGGAATCTCTGATCTTACAGGAATATTTCTGTGGGAGGGAAAGTGACAGGTGGTTTGTGTGGATGTGAACACGCTTTGCAGCACGAAAGAGCAGCGTCCCTGGAAAAGCCATGTATGGATTAGGACTTGAAGCAGTCCGCTGCACCCATTTCAGGGAGCTGCTGTTGGGTCCTGTTGGGATTTTCAGTCCCTTTGGGTATTTTCACTTCCCATTTCAAATGAAGACAAGCCCAGAGAGTCCCTGTTTGCATGCAGCCCGAGCATGGTTCCGAGGCAGAGAGATGGAATTGCTGCCAGTGAAGTGCGGGCGCTGCAGAGCCCAACAACCACTTGTTGGAGCATAGAAAATGCCCCTGCATGTGGGGCTGGCTTTGCTATCCTCTGTGTGCCACACTCACCTTGGAGTTTTAGCTACCTCCTTGAAACTTACCCATTCAGGTAAAGTGGCATGGAGAGTCACGGGTTTGCCAGGAGTTTAGACCTTGGTGCTGAGCAGAGCTCTCCAGCACAGCGAGCTGGCATCTCCGGGTCAGGCTGCTCCTCTGTGTTTGCTTTTCACGCTGGTTGTGTGTTTCCAAAGTGCAAAGAGGCTGCTGAGCTCCACAGC